TGACAAAAACGCAAGAAAGGAAGAACAAGAGGGGAATGGAGGCCATGTTCCTTTCTTTTCCAATGGATGGGGAAAGTGAGCGGGGTTGGCTCCTTGTCCGTAGACCCTCCCCACGCTGCAGCAAATCCCTCCTCTCGCCCTATCGCCTCTGTTCTTTTCCTTGTTCCCAAACGGAAAAAGAAAATGGGTTCCTTTACATGTTCATTGTTCTTCCTTTTGTTTTCTATTTAAAAGGGAAAGATAAGAAAGAGAGGAAAGAAGAAAACGAGCACCATCCTCTCTTTGCCTGATTTTGCACCTCCCTCTCCTGTCTTCATTTCTCTTCCATGACTTTCATTTTCTTCCCATGAAAATTGTTTCCTTTTGATCTCTCCTCTCTCCTTTCTCTCTCCCTTCTCTTCTCTTGTTCTCTTTTGAATCTCAAAATCACACCAAAGGAAGCTTCTTTTCCTTATTGAATTAAAAAGAAAAAGAAGAAAAGAGATAGGTAAAGACACTGAAGAGCTCCACTGCCTATTGTTTCATTCCCTTTCCTCTCTTCCTATGTGTTGTTTTCCTTGTCGTTTCAGAAAGCTAGCAAAATAAGGGCAAGGGGGCTTCCTGAAGAGGAGAGAGGGCACCTATTTTTTAATTATAGAGGGAAAAGCGAGAGACAAGGAAGGGACAGATGATAGATAAAGAAGAGTGCTATCCGTCTCCTTGTTTATTGTGTCTTCTCTTCTTTTCAGTACCCCTCCAGAAAATTCAAATGGCCTCCTTGTTGTCTCTCCTCTCTCACTTCCCTTGCCCTTCTCTCCTTCTGTTACCTTTTAACTAATATAACACAAGAAAGGAACTTGTATGATAAAGCAGTGGAAGGGTAAGCAGAGAGTGACTCCTGGCGCGTGGACCTTGCCCATGCTTCATCATATCCCTCTTTTCGGCCTGTCTCTTCTGCTCTTTTCCTTACCCTTCTCCTTTTGGAACGGGTGTCCTTTTTGATAGTTTTCTGCATCTTCAAGGAAGAAAAAAGGACACCCGCCCAAGAAGGAAAAGTAACATAAGAGATAGGGAGGAAATTGACAAGCTCCTCTCTTTACCTAGTCATTCCCTGTCCTCTCTTCTTTTTTGTTGTTTTTCTTATTCGCTTCAAAAAGCAAAATAACAAAATAAGGGAAAGGCGATTTCCTGAAGAGGAAGAAGGGCGCCTACCTGTGAATAGCAAGGTTGATTTTTTCTAATTAGGGACATTCCGGTACAGTTGCGCTTCCAGAAAAATGGCATCCTTGTTATCTCCTCTCACTTCCCTTTCCCTTCTCTCCTTCTGTTTCCTTCTGACTGATAAACCACAAGAAAGGAACTTGTATGATAAGGCAGTGGAAGGGTAAGCAGAGGGTGACTCCTGGCGCGTGGACCGGTCCATACTTCGTCATACCCCTCCTCTCGGCCTATCTCTTCTGTTCCTTTCCTTACCCTTCTCCTTCTCATAGTTCTTCCTTTTTGTTCTCTTATTTCGAAAAGAAAGATGGCAGGGAGAGATAAGGAAGAGAGGATAGATAAAGAGTGAGTGCCATTTTCTCTGCGCCTTGTTTTGTCTCTCCCTCTTCTCTATTCATCTCTCTTCTATTCTTTTCTTTGCTCTTCCCATTAACAATGCAATCCTTTTGTCTCTCCTCTCTCCTTCTCTCTCCCTTCTCTTCTCCTGTTCCCCTTTAAATGACAAAAACGCAAGAAAGGAAGAACAAGAGGGGAATGGAGGCCATGTTCCTTTCTTTTCCAATGGATGGGGAAAGTGAGCGGGGTTGGCTCCTTGTCCGTAGACCCTCCCCACGCTGCAGCAAATCCCTCCTCTCGCCCTATCGCCTCTGTTCTTTTCCTTGTTCCCAAACGGAAAAAGAAAATGGGAAGGGAGAGAGAAGGGAGAGAGGATAGATAAAGAAGAGTGCCATTTTCTTTGCGCCTTGTTTTGTCTCTCCATCTTCTTTGTTCATCTCTCTTTTCTATTCTTTTCTTGGCTCTTCCCATTAAAATTGTCTTCCTTTTATCTCTCCTCTCTCCTTCTCTTTCCCTTCTCTTCTCCTGTTCCCCTTTAAATGACAAAAACACAAGAAAGGAAGAACAAGAGGGGAATGGAGGCCCTTTTCCTGTATTCTCCTGTTGCAATGAATACAGAAAAGAGCATAGGAGATAAGGAAGGGAATTGAGGAGCTCCTTTCGCTACTTTCTTATGCCCTTTCCTTTGTATCTACCACACAAAAACACCACTCTCAGCTTCCAAGAATACTCTCGTGGAGACGCATTGGTTAGTCTAAAAACCCGAGTCTCAGCTTCCAAATAGACCCTATTTAAGCCACCCACCCACCCCCCCCCCTTTAACAGCCGGGCCGAGGCAGCGCACGCAAGCGTTTACAATTCGAGATTGGTCTAGGGCTTTCAGGTCCAAATTGCAGATTTGCAAGTAGTGGACTTGCCAATCGACCACTCGATTGACGTGCAGAACTTGTCGTTTTTCGAGTTTCCTTCTGCGGCCTTGCGCTTCAAACCGCAGGGGGCCTTGAGCAAATCGAGGCACGACACATACAAATCGAAGAGTGCACCACAGATTCGAGCCATAGTGAAAGCGTACTCCAGACCTTATGCAACTTGATCCCAACGACTTAGACACGGCGACGGCTTCGGCCAAGCGATTCTGACCCTGGCAGCACTTTCAGCACTTTGTCTGGATACAGACATATGGAGTAATTCAGATACGGCGTAGGTCTTATCCACGCGGTTTGAACAACAATGGCCTCACTATCCACAAAGCAGTCGAAAGGGCACCTAGGACCTGGATGTATTGACTATTGACTATTGTTGACTTGAACCAGCTGCAACAGCTTTGGAGAAAGCAAAGGCCTGGTCGTGATCACTATCGAAGGGGTGAAGCGAGGAGAGGAGTGTCAAATTGAAAGCAAACATTTCTTGCTGCAATGTGCAAGCCCTTACCTGGTTTGCATCAGCAACTAATGGCAAGTGCCGGAAGCTCCCTCAGCAGTCTTCTCGTCACAAGTGGGCCGCACTTGCTGGATGCTCCGTTCATCAGTGTCTTGAGCTGTGGTGGTCACGTAGTCTGAGACCACCACAGAGCCCTACTCCCCATTCCCCTCTCCGCTCCACGGAACGTTGTGACTTTCAGAACCGCCCTTTTCTCCACCAACTGAGGCGAGTTTCGCCATGGTCACATGCTCTGAGCAACGTCGCCTTTGGATTGACAACTTTGTTTGCCAGGTGAAACACGTGATCCCTGCTTAGAGAAGTGCATGAAGGCTCTTTGCAATGATTTGGAGCAGTGAGCGTGCGAACAACGGACATATCTGCAGGGGCTTACTTGCCAGCTCACATTCCGATGCCAAACACCTTTGGATGCGACAAGCTCGCATTTGCGGTGTCATGTCTGTTGGCTTGTGTTTCGTCCCTTCACTGGCCTGCACGACACAGATCAGGGCCTTGTTCTCCCACCTTAGCGTGCCCAGTGCTGTTCTCACTTTAGTTCGAAGGCAAGAACACGCCTTCAATCAGAAGCTAAACTCAGAGGCCCGTATCGGCCTCCGTGCCACAAGACTCAGGGCCAGTCCTGTAAGTCGTTGCAGCATCCGACTCCGGATCCCAGAACGTGGATGAACTGCGAGAGTCGAGTGCCATGCAGGGGTCTTGTTTTTCAACAATACTGGGAGCCATACCCCGTAAAACCATCAACCATGCGCCAGATCTTCTGCACGGCAGGCCTTGTATGGAAGCCTGCCCCCTTCTTTTCCATCAGGCTGATGTTCACAATGTATCTGGAGCAAGAAGGATCAACAATCAACGGAACAATAGGGGGCCGTCCGTCCAAGCTCCATGCTTAAAGTTACCACTCAGCTCCTGCATCTTCTCCAGAACCACTGACCTTCGGAGCTCAGGAGCACAAACACTGGAGAACGATGAGACATGTCTATGTTGCCTGTGTGTGCTCGTGTGTGCCAGGCCCTGGGCCCCAGGGAGTTGCACCACTCCTCCACTTGCTTTGGGTTGTAGTCTTTCACGGGGCCCAAGACCTGAGAGGTGTTTTGGTACACTGAGGTTGGAATCTCAAAACACGTCTAAGCAGCCCGCCTGCTCGATGCATTGAGGTAGGCGGACATTCACCTCTATATGCAGCAGTGTCACAGTGCGACCCAGTGTCATCACAGGTTCAGACCACACCTGCCTCGTCCTTTATCCGTGAAAACGAGGTGATGTTGTCCTGGAAACAGCATTTGACCACCCGGTGACTTCCCTTAAACAACCTCAGCGGAACACTTGCCTGGCTAGGCATCGATGCGCTGTCAATGGCCACTGGCTGGTTGCTGCTACTCACACTGTTGTGTTGGCTGGAGGCTAAGAAAGGGGTGTCTGCAGATTGTGCAGGTCTCTAGCATTGTGTCGATGAGAAACAAGGGTACACGGTATGCTTGCGGACTGGTCAATCATGTTCGAGGCATTCGAGGCTGGCCACCAAGACACCAGGCACGGGTGCCCCCATCGCAAGCAGAAGTAGTGAGCTCTACTGGAGCCTTCCGTACCTGCAGCTTGATTCTGCATGTACGCAACTTCTCGTTGACGCCTTTTCTCCTGTCACACGGGTGCTGGCTGGCCAGCTTGAAAGCAGCCCAACGTCGAAGCGATGACCTTTGAAACGCTTCCGGTCTCGGGCTCTGCATTAACCGCAGCTGGTGCGCTGTGGAGATCGACCAATCGGGACGCTTGGAATTCTAATGCATTAGGGCTTTGTGACTTGGGCTTGCAAGTCGTAAATCTCAACATTGACTGTTGACTCTCTAAGCTCAGCCAGAACATGCTCATGCTGGGCCCCGAAGAGGGGCCTCACATCCGGCACCGCATCCGGCAACCTCGGCATCGCATGTTGGATCACGGTGCTCCAGGGAACAAGGCTCCCAACATGGCAAGATTCTTCGCTCACGACGCGCGTGGACCAGAGAAATCGACGGGTCAAGGCTTCGAACCTAGTCGAAGCAATTCCAGGATGTGTCGATTGGCAATGCCTCAGACTGCCACACTGCTTGAATGCAACAGGATTGCACAACCTGCAGATCTTTTCGAAGAGCCCAACTTGGGTGTGAACTGTACTCTGCGCATCTCCGACGTCTGCCTTTCGCAGGTATCGGCGCGCCTGTCGCCGGAAGACTGGGTTCTCCAGCCTTGAAAGCCGCTGGGCATGTGACAAGTCGACTGAAACAGCACCAACCCTGCCTATTAAAAAACGCCTGAAGCAACGTAATGCCCTCACAAGGCCACGACAGGTCTGTGGCAGCCGGCCGCCGACGGGCGTCTAGCGCCAGCAGAGCAGCAAGCACCTTTTGCACATCTGAACGAGGCTTGGGCCCATCTTCGAGAGGAATCTGGGGAGCTCGAACTTTGTGAGCAAGCTTATGTGGAAACGCAACGCTCTGCAGCTGGGTGGAAGAGGTTGGAAGTGTAAGAGTTCTACGTGGTGGGCGAGGAGCGTTGGCATGTGGGAGGTGGAAAGCAGGAGGCTGGAGGGTGGGAGTCGAAAGATTGCATCTAACCGCAACAAATCCAACAGTAACTTGGATGTCGATGGGATCGAACCGGTCAACACATGTAGAAACTCAGATCATAGCTCGAAGGTGCTGCACTTCGCTGAGAGCCAAGCCAATCGCAGAGGCCCAATGCGCCCGCCCGTATCGAACGGCAGCCACCCGGAGGCGTCTTCCTCGCCGATGTCTTGACATGCCAGTGAGGCACAAAGAGGACTAGTCCGACAAGAAAGGATTACAAAACTTTAGCTTCACTTGCAAAGGGCCTGAGCCGACACATACGACCCCTGTGACCGATGAATTTGCAAAGCTTAACGCGATATCCGTCTTGCTGTCCATCTATTTGCGCATCTACGTGTCACAGTCACAGGGCATATCGTTGCATCTGAAAAACATCAAGAACTGCATTCTATGCATTGTTCACAACATAGCTCAAACATGACATGCTCGTAAATCTATGCCTGGATGACATGATGCTCACTTAACAACGTTCTTGATTCTTGAATCAGACTGCAAGCACGCTCCAAGCTTCTCATTTCGACTCTATTATTGCTCCATCCTTTGCTGTACTGTACATCGTCTATGTGCTGTTGTTGCTCTTGTTGCTGCTGTTGCTGCTGTTGCTGCTGTTGCTGCTGTTGCTGCGGTTGCTGCTGTTGCTGCTGTTGCTGCTGTTGCTGTTGTTCCTCTTGCTGCTGTTGTTGCTGTTGGAAATATTTCCTGTCTTGCGATTGTAGATGTGTGAGTGAACAATCGAAATTCCGTTATCTGATAGAAAGGGCAGGAAGCTTGCGTTGCTTCTTGCGATTGCTGGAAGGCATACTTCCAACGCTGCTTTGCGGGCTACTTTGTAAAAAGCAGGGAAGAAAGGGTGTACATGTGTGTCAACGCCTTCTGGATTCTCTGCGGTTGCAAGCGTGCATCCCAGGAAGTTGTCCAAGAAAACCGACAGCAGCTTGAATCCGTCCAGTCTGATAGTGCTCATACAGGCTCGCTCCACACATCGGTCGCAACGACTTCGCGATGCGTGATGCTTGGCTTCGAAGACGTCTCCATCAACGACTGCGAGCATGCGCCGTTTTCAGACTTGATTCCCGTTAGCCCTCCTCCTGCAAAGCAAAGACAAAATTCATGCCTGGCTACGCTAGCTTCCGGGCGTTTTTTCTCACGCTATCAGCTAACCAGGTTTGTTGAATTAGAAAGGAACTAGGTCTTGTCAGCTTACCCTGTCTGTCTGTGAAGTACATACTCCACAGTAGGCCAAGCAAACAGCCCAGCTCACAAACCATCCTGCAAGAACATATGGGTGACTCTCTCGCACATCCCCCGTGTGACCCAACTCATATTCACTCGTGCCATGTCATGTCGTGTCCTCGGCACTAGGCGCCTTCTCGTTAGGAGTCGGTCGGCGCTTCTCTTCCACGAAGGATTTAATCAGGCCCTGCGACCAAGAGTATCCAAGTCGAATGGCAGGCAGTCAGTCGGCAAACGGCCTTCAGAACATGTGGGTCGTCATGAGAAAACGGCAAGGAGGAGAAGCACATTGCATAGAGCACCATGCCAAGTGACCTAAGACGCGTCACAGACTTCATGTCACAAACATCACCTGTAAATCTCAGATCTCTCGGATCTTGGCCACATGTCACTCTTCTCGGAGTACTCGCGCTCCAAATCCTCCGTGAGTAGAAGCTCAGGAGCGGTGTACTCCACCTCACATTCCAAGAAAGCGAGAGACCATGGGAAACGATCAAATCAGCTCATTTTCGGCAAAGTCTCAGGTCTCAGCAGTACCTGTGTACCCACGAGAGACCGCTGCTGTGGCACCTGGGACTCGATTGTGGGGGGGCCCACATGGACGAGGGATGCCCACCTGCGAGACTCTACGTGAGTCTAGGAGAAAACCCTGGCCCAGGGTCCTCACTGGCCGGTGGCTCCCCAAAGGCCTGGGCCGTTCCAAAGTCACCTGGTGAGCACAAGTCGGTTGCGGAGCTACAATGAGCTACACTCACAAGGCTTCAGCAGAGGGCTGCTTGACCTGAGCGCACCACTCAGAAGCGCCCTTGGAAAGCTCTCGCCATTCCCGCTCCTGGCACAGGTACTACGCACCCACAAAAGAGGAGAGCTAAACCCCTTCTGGCCTGGTGTCGGGGAAGGAGAGGAGGATGTTGGTGGGTTTCAGGTCCCGGTGTAGGATGCCCTGCCTCGAGTTCTTGAAACATGTGTGTTGGGGTTTGAGGTTTTGGATGTAGAGTTTTGGGAGGATGTGATGGTAAGGACTGCGACCATCCCTGCCTATGCAGGTGCTGCAGCCCCAGGAGGATGTCCAGGAGGAAGTGCCAGATCTGAGCCGCGTGCCCTAACAAAACCTCTAAACTTCGAGCTCCGACCCAGGGAAACAAGATCGCCTGATCTGTGGGCATCTGCTCTTTGGGCGTCTGGGAGTTTCCATCGTGCCATATCTGCTCCGCTAAGGAGCCGCCGTTGCAGTACTGCCTCAGAGGATTCTTCATGTCTTGCAATTCTCTTGCATTGAAACTACAACTACAAGGCCCGTGCATGAGAATGAAGAGGAAAGGCACCTCGGATTTTCGCACCGACCGCATTGGCATCTTGGTTCACCCTCGACTCTCCTTTTCCGAAGCCGACACCGGGTAGCACCACCAAACACCAGCGCAAACTTAAAAATCTGCATAAAACTCCGAAACCTGACATTCGGAGTTCCAGGACATGCTTACATTGTATTTCTGTGATTTTCTGTTGCAAACTGAACACGTTCACGCCTTCTAAATCAAGGGATTCCTTGTTGCATGACCGGCATGACCTGGCAAGAACAAGTATACCTGGTGTGCGATGGTGCTTGCTTCAAGCGCCCCGTATGCGCGTCATTGGCACGAGCTAGCTGCCGAGCTCGCCGTGCAAACTGGGCAGTTTTCAGATTGCAGCAGGGCACCGAGAGGGCGGTTGGCGTGCATGTCAGTTGCAACATTGCGTGGGTTTGAGATCACGCAGCTCTGCTATATCACCAGAAGGCGGCTTTGTGGAAATTATGTTGCTGGCAGCATGCGGCTGCCGCGACATGGTAGGCGCAGTATCTCACGTGATTTGCTGACGTCAGTCGCCGCTGTGTTCCATGAGTACGCAGGCACGAACCCTGGCAGCCAGACCTCCTTCCTGAGTAGATTTTTGCTGGCCTTCACAGCGGTTAAGCGTGTCAGTACCCCCCCAGCAAGCCAGACTGCAGCGGGCAGTCTGCAGGGGTTCCATTCCCACTTGAGCCAACGCTGCCTCTTCAGCATCCCTTGCGTTTTGCCTTTTGACCCACCTTTTTTGTCCTCTCTCTGTGTCTGTCCTTTTGTGTGTTCTTTGCCGAGGCGCAAAGGGGCAGAACTCCGAACGCCTCGATAGTTCCAGCCAGGAGTGCTTGTACCTTACGGAGGAGAGAGGTGCTCTGAATGGTTTTATAACATTCTCATTCTTATGGTTGTGATTCATCATTGTCTCACCATATATGTTTCATCAGGCTATTGGGTCTCCTTATCGAATTTAAATCTTATTTGAATTTAAAGTCCGTCCATAATCTGTGGGAGCTTTCCACCAGATCTCCTCCAAGCGGCTCGACTATGTTGGGATGATGTAAGCGCTCAAAGGTCTTCACCTCGGGAAGCAAGGCCAGAGAAGTTTGGATGAACTTTCGTCATGGAATGGCGCTGCGCATGGCCCCAGCAACTAGCTCACGGCAAGACTACTCTTTTCTTCTCCCGGAGCGAGAGGTCACAGAGCTGCTCGCTGCAGCCTGGCAGAGCCCTCCATCACTTGCCTGGAGCGAATCTTTTCAGCACATTCATCAATTTCGTGAGTTTCCATCTCTCTTTCAGCTGAGGATGCTCTGGGCTGGGATCTGCCGAGACACCGCAAGCCTTTCCGGAATCTTTGGGCATGTCTGGAAGTTCTTTCGCAGTCTCGCTCCAGTCGAAGAGATCCTTAGACTCAAGGCTCGAAGGAAGGGGCTGTCACCTACGAAAGGCTGCCGCTGTCCGGAGCTAAGATTAAACGATTCAGAAAGCGCACCGCGCGCACTGCGACTGACGTGGACCCTATAAACTATGATCCTTGCACCATAATCGTTGAATAGGCAATGAGATTTATGAAGCTCGATGAGTGCTTCTGTGGCACATCCACAGCAATGCCGCAGACATCCAGGGCATCCTTGACCCATCCTGGGCCCGGGTGAACGCTTCCGACTGTAAGTTGTTTTAGCAAAAGTTAAGGCGAAGGCCCTTTTCTAGGCTGTTTTTGACATGTTGCAAGGACTTCCTGGGGTCAAGAGACGTTGCCTGCTGCTCAAAGAAGAAAGCTACTCACAACTCAGACACGGCCAAGGGGGTGCTTGCATTTTGCAGCTCATGACAACGTGCCGCGGCGCCGCGCTGCTTGCCGACTTTGCCGGGAAAAGAAACTGGGAATACGGTCTCTTGAGAACGGAAAATTGGTTGTTCTTTTGCAACAACCCTATCTCGTGTTGGCACTCAACCTGTACCTCACGGTGATTCAGTGAAGATGCGTGGCTGTCGCCTGGTTTAGTCTGTGACAAGCCTGGCTTCCAACTGCTTCCAAGCATCTTTGGTTCAAAGCGAACGGATCAAAACAGAAACAAAGCAGCCACAGGAATGTTGACAAAATAGACTTGTTCAGTGAAGACAAACATTCTTCCTGGGCGCCTGAGAAGGGCCTTCCCGCAGACCCCCACCCTGGGGTTGAGTCCATGGAAAAACCACAAAGAGTCAAGTATGCTGGGCTTGCCCACCCCCACATAATCCCGCAGAAAGCCCCAGGAGTGCCCTCCCCCAAACATTCCGTGGACAGTCCCGCAACGAAAGCCTGTGGCGAAGTATCCTCAACTGTCCGAAAACGGCTCAGGATATGGCTCCCAAATCGGTCCGGGAGGGTGGGGATGTTCGAAGCAAGCAAGCTGTGATTCTTGGGGTGTTTGGCACCACCCTGAGTCTGGGAGTTGCACCACTTGCAAGGATGCACAAAGTCACAATGTCAGCTCAGATGCTTTGGGGGGAAAATTCTCATGTCACAGATTGCTCCGGCATTTGGGGAATCTGGGATTCGGTTGAGCTGCGGGGTGGGCACCTGTCGCAGGGTGCCGGCTTTGCTGAGGGGAAGAAGTCCTGCAGGAACCGCCGCACCCAGTCCTCGGCTCGTCTTGGCTGTGCAGAATGGCATCCACAGCAACATCCACCATGACTACGTGAGCCTGCTCTGGCACTTAATCCCTGCGGTGGCTCTGGAAACGATCCAGCTTTGATCTGTTCTCGCATCTCTTGCAGAAGATTCCTGGGCGTGACGTAAGCTCATGAGCTTCGCATAGTGCAACAGTTTTCTCGAATCATGTCATTGCAGTGTTGGAGTATTCATGCGTTGCCATGAAAAAAGGCGACAAGGCAATGAGGAAGCCAATGACAAGCCGAGGAGCAGCATGAACCACAGGTTGTGCAACGTGATCAGCTGCGCAGCCACAGGCTCCTTGGTGACGATGGTGTAAAGCATGGCGCGGGTGTAGTCCTCTCTGCAAGTGCTTCCCGAATGTCAATGCTCCTCCCGCCCATCCCATCCCGCACATTTACAATCTATGCTGCTGGGCCCGGGGCCACAAAAGCCAATTCAAGCCGATATGCGCTGAAACTCCCCACACACCATGTGTAAAGTACCCATGAACAGGGTAACTGTCCTTCAACGGACCCTGGCCATGTCCATTGCGGTCTGGCTCCAGTGGGCGATAGTCGCTGGCAAACTCGGCACTGGTCAATCCTGGCAATTAGGGTCTCTCAGGCCATTCGGGCCCGTCGATCGCATCCGTTGCTGGAACGTGAGGGAACTCCCGAATTACATCACCGAAGACCCCAAACGGTCAAAGGCACGTCAAAGAAACAATGGAGACGACGGGAGACGACGGGAGACAAAGGGAAACGAAGGGAGACAAAGGGAGGCGAGGAGCACAGCAACCCGGCAAAGCCACCCACGTGAAGGGAGGCAAAGCAAGACAAAGGGAGACAAAGGGAGACAAGGAGCCCAGGAACCCGGCAACAGTCCTCAGAATGTCGGCAAACCGTAAATTCATTTAGAACCCCAACAGTAGACTGTTTGGGAAAGAGGGGCAAACCCAACGACAAAGATTTTACTAGGGTACACTGGGTCCTTCAAGGTTGAAAAGTGCTCACTCAAGGTCCGTGCCAGGCGACTGAGCTGACCACTCCGCACCAGCGCCGTTCCGAAGCGGGCTGTCCGGCAGGGGTACACGCAATCGAACCTCGCTGACCGAGAAAAGAAGAGACCTTTTCACATTCCGAGGTCGGGAGATTCTGGGAGCCTCGAAAGCGAAGGTGGGTGGCAAGGTGTGGCTGACGGTCAGCCAAGAGGCATGTCAACGCCAAGCGCGACGCAGATCACGATGTCCAGCGGATACCCTACACCCATCAGGTAGCGCCTTGCTGCGCGCATGCGAGAGGCAACAAGACGCAAGAAGGCACTAAAAAAGGCCCAATCAAAGACATTATGTTTATACTATACTGGGAGACATAATGAGAAGTAAGTGCCTGATCCTGGCATGTCCTGGCAAGCGGCGGCTTCATAGGCGGCAGCCCGCTGTGGGGCCGCGTGCATTGCTCCACCACGCGCCAGAACTCCGACTTTGCCTCGCCTGCGTTAACTTCCAAAGCAACTGGGGAGCTGCAGCCAAACTGGGGGAAAGCGCCGAAGATCGGCCAATCGTTTGGGGCGGCCTCCAGACAACCCCCCGATGGCATAGCCGGGAAGGTCCCTCTTCACCATCTCCTCTCTTGAGGCAGCGCTCAATTTTCTCATCCCTTCCCTCACCTCATCGCATGACACTCCTTGAGTGAGTACTCGCGGAGCCCGCCCGGCTTTACATCCAGGTGCCCTTGAACAATGCCAAAGAGATTCCTGAGAAAGTCGGGCGCAACGTCGAGGAAGCTCAAGATTCAACGGCTTTCTCTCTTTCTTTCTTTCTTTCGTTGGGGCATGGGGGTGACCCCCCGCGCAGGTGCGCGCCCCCGTCCGTTTGCGTCTCAGTGCTCGCTAAAACTCGCGCACGCAGCCGTATTGGCCGCCACAGCCGCACCCGCTGGAGGCCCATTGGCCCCCTTTATCGGCTTTCTCTCTCTCTCTCTCTCTCTCGCTTTTTGTTTTTTCTAGGGGCGTGGGGGCGAACCCCCGCGTTGGCGAGAAAGGGTGCCTGTTGTGCAGCCGGTGCTTCCCCCGGTTCCTACACTCACTGTCTCAGTTAAGCTGGGAAGCTGGCTACGCATCTCTCTCTGTCTCTCTCCTCCTGTGCTCAAGAACCCGCTTGCTATGTCTTGCTACACAGGCTCTGGCGATCTGGCTTCTGGTGCGCCTTGATGCATCGATCGATCCTTGGGAGATACTCTGGGTGGGCTCTCCAGATTGGGCCCCCTCCGCCTCTGGAGACACTCTGCCTCTTGTGGAACATCTCAATGAATTTCAACAGTGAGACCCCTTAGGCCCCCCCCCCCCTCCCCCCCCGGATTCCCCCTGCTTCCGAGAGCGGCCATCTCAGGGTGCGGTCCGTTGCTTCCTTGATGCGGGCCTCGTCCTTCACGGGGTCCAGGGTTGAGGACACCTGACGAAGCGCAGAGAAGAGCCTTTTTTTTCAGATTATGGGTCGTGTGAAAGCCCCTCCCCCTTCAACATCGAGCCAAGCTGCCACGTCATCGAGAGCCATCCTGAGTTTGAGAGCAGAGACTCGGCTGCCAATCCCCGAGTCTCGTGATGCCTCGCGTCTTGCTGAGCGGCATGATGTCGGCTCCGATGTCGTTTTGGGACTCAATGGACTTCTCGGGGGTCAGAAGCATCCTGCTTCCCGGCTTCTTCGGGTCCTCAAACTCAACGCCGTCTTCCTGATCAAGAGAACAACGCCAAGACACACCGTCACATACCGAAAAACTCGAAGACGAGGAGCAAGAGCCGCAAGGGCCACACAAGCAAGCCGAGACTCTGTAATGACAGCGAGCTTGAGCAAAGAAACCATTTGAAAGCCCCCGCTGTCCGTGAGGATGTTTCCCTGCCTGCTACAGATGCGGCTACTGTCATTGGTGCTGACAGCTGGTAGCTGCTGTGTGTTGCATGCAATGGATACTGCATTGCAGACATTTGAGTACTGAGAAGGGTGCCAATTCATCAGCTTGTGCAGACCACCGCATTTTCGGAGAAGCTCACAAGTGGGGCGGTTCGCAAGGTGGAAGGTGTTCCCCAGCAAGATCCGGCCTCGACACTGGACATGTTGGAGACCTGTTTATGAAGTGAGGCACAGTCGACAATTGGGAGACGGACAGCCAAGCATCTCCATGTCCTCCTCGGTAAATAAAAGAAAACGCAAAGGGCTGTTGGGAGACTCGTCGTTGACTTCAGGGTTCTGCAATGACTTGAGTCGACACACGTCATGAGACACTTGCAGTCCAGTGGCAGAAGACATGCCCTTGATGGTACCCTGTGTTCCTTAATTAAGTGGTGGTGCCCACGAGCATGCGCCGCATCGAGCACTAAGTGATGCAGAGCCCGCAGAGCTAACTCTCCGACCAAGGCACCAACAGGCATGAAAACCTCAGTGGAGCTTCGCAGAACTTCACCGAACGCTGGCATCGAGAAGAAACGATTACATACGGGTCGCAGCGAATTTGGAAGAGTCGCAAGAAGCGCAGTAACGCGCACTTGAAGTTTCTGACTGCAACTGTTTCCGACTGCGGGTGCGCGTGCTGTAAGCTTCCGGGCATGTCAAGGACTATCTGAGTCACTCCTTTAGCAAAACCTTAGCCTGCGCATGGCATAGTTATTCCCAGAGCATAGGGGCACTGGGGACAGTGAAGAAAGTAAACGATTTTCTGACGAGCAGCGGGTGTCAAAACGTCGCCATGGGGCAACGTTACCGTTGCAGCTCTTGCACGCCCGCAGGTCGCCTCCAGGCGGAAAACCAAAGGCGGTTCGCCTGCAGCAAGAGGGGTCCATTCTCTCAATGAAGTTGCTTGCTCTTCAGCTGCTCCTTCGCCGCAGCCTATCCGTCCCATCCCAGTCGAGGAGAAAAGCCCTTGCGATTCGTTGCACCGGAGCCAAGTTGCCCGACACAGCACCTTGCCCCTCATCGGCGTCTTCGAGCTTCCGCTTGGACATGGCGCATCCCAGTGTGTCTTCGCGCGGCTTTTTCTGGAGGGTTTAGGGGTCATGGAGTCATGGACGCGGGCATTGTGAGATGTTGCGAGAGCTCAGGGCTGCTCGGGGTGTGCGAGCGGCGTTTGAAGTCCCATTGAAGCCTTGAGCCTCTCGTGGCTCAAGTGTGGCACGCTGTCGAGCTCAGAAGGGTTGGCAGGCTTGACAGTGACAAGTGTGACAAGCGTAATGGGTCATAACGAACGAGAAAGTGTGCAAATTAAGGCATGTCGGTTTGAATTTGGGCGTCCGACCTCCCGAACCATATCCCGCAGCCAGACCTGCCGTCGGCACCAGCGACTGCAAGGCTCGGGAGCACAATCAGGAAGCAGGAAAGCAGTAATCTCATGGTAGTGTCATAAGCCAGCAGGGTTGATTTACAACAGGAACTACCAGATGCGGCTGCACAGCACCGCAGCTGAGGCTGTGGACTGCAGTGCAACCCAGTTGCCTCAGCCTCCTCGCTTGGCAGAAAACGCCTGCGCTCACCCTCAAAGCCTTCCGAAGTTCCCGAGTGCACATTGAGAAGTCCGGTTCAAACCCTGAGGGGGGCGATCCGGCATCGCCTTGAGCCAGACTCCAGGGCTGTCAATGTGCTCCGCCCGTGGCCATAGAAATCCACTCAGAAGATCAGAGGGGAAAGGAGAAATATGGATGAGCAGAGAAACAGATGAACCGAGAAGGAGGCTCCGAGGAGAGAAGAAGAGAGGGCCTAAACATGCCTAAACGTCCTAGCCTTGACCAGAGGCTCCGAGGAACAAGGAAGTGACAAGGAAGCCAGAAACACACGAGCAGAAAACGACAGGAAGCAGCTTGGGGCTGGAGGAACCCCACAGGGCCTCTGATCACAGACACGTTTCAGACAGGTCCTAAACTCAAAACTCAATATTGAACGCATTGAACGCGGCCAATACTGTTGGTCAGGCCGGGACAATGCTCCACGGTCCCGCATGTCCCGCATGTCCCGCATGTCCCGCATGTCCCGCATGTCCCGCATGTCCCGCGCCTTGTTGTCTCCGACTGCTACCTGCATTGTGGCGACAACTCCGGGGCTACGCAGGGCCAAAAGCTTAGAGATGGCCTAGAAAGCCTGAAGAACAGCAAGACACACAGCGTGCCTTCTTCACGGCATAGTCGCCCAGCATCATGTCGTCCAAGACGTGACGGCAAAGGTACACTGCCCCGAAACTGGCCGAGAGTGGGGGAACATCAAGGCAGGCAAAGCAAGCAAAGCATCAAGGCATCAGCAGAGCGACATAGAATGGCGTACGGAGTTGTGGAATCAATCGCATGAAGCGGCACGCAGTTGACCCTGGACAGGTGCCACACAAGCATGGAGTGTTCGTCGCTGGTGCCTTCCGGAGCCAAGGTGCTTCGTCTCCTGGAAGAACCGGGCATAATACCTGACCGGAGGCTCTGCACAACAAGATATGTGACCTCCGTGGCTCTATGGTTAGAGAACTGAGAACCTGGCCCTGTGTTCAGCAAGCCTGCCGGAAGGTGCCGCAACGCCGCCTAATCAGAAGCGTCAAGAATCTCGGAGGCTCAGCTGCTCGCCGGATCTGCATCCGGGGCACGGCGGCTGCTTGCTCTGCTTCGGCACCCCCCTCGGATGTGAAGATGGGCACCTGTTGTAAACGCTCTACATGGAATGGCCGCGAGAAACCAGCTAGAAGCGGCCACATGCAAAAGCGGCAAGAGGTAGGCACCTCCTCCGGATTGGCCGTCTGGGCACCGAGGAGAAACGGATTCGCGTCGTAGTCTCCATCCTGTCATGATGTATGAAGTGACAGAGAAGGTAGAAGGCTTGTGTTTGCATGAACACGACGGTTCGCTCTGAGCATCAGGCTCCGATGGCGATGGCGTCGCCCTTCGAGGGCAGAAAAAAAAGCGGAGAAGCGCTTCCCATCCTAAGGCCCATATCCTGAGAGCCCCCCATCCTGGCCTGCTCCTCGTCCGAAACACCCAGGCTCGCCAAGCGATCCATGGCGCTTCTCGACTGCTCGTCCTCTCAACTTCAATTCCCTTCAAATTCCTCGGACTCTGCCTTTCTTCCGTTTGAGAGCGTTTCCTTGTTTTTCTCATGTCCGTGTGCGCATGTGTGCCCTTCACAGTCTTCAACACGAACGGATTTTAACGACCTTGCCCTCATTCCCGAAAGCTAACACGTCCCCGAACAGGAAGTTGGCAGCAGCGCCCAACTGCCCCCTTCACTCCAACTTCCGCAGCCGGGGGCCGGTATGGCCAGTTGGGTGGCCATGGGTTTGCTCGCTCCAAATAAGAAACTCCGTGAGTATATAGCCAAGGTGGAATGCACGAAGGTGGGCGACGCGCGAAGAGATGTGAAGAGCAAGAAAGAGAGAACATGCGTGCTTGCGTGTTCCTAGGTCCGCATACATCCTGTACAGCAGCCAGGGCCGCAGGTCGACGGAGACGATGGGTCGCCAGATGCTTTTGATTTCTTTCAAGTCAACTCACAGTTCAGGCGTCGCACTAAGAGTCAGCGCTTAGGTACTGGGGAGACGGATGCGTCCGAGTTGAAATAGTTGACATAAACTCCAGGTTTCAGGCGGTGTTAGAAGTTAACTTAAAGTGCCGTAAGCCGATTCTTGCAACGCCTGCCGAAGGCAAAGCGACAGGTTCACACTTGAAAGCTGAGAGTGTCTGAAACGCCAACACGCAAGCTGTCCGCGCCGTCAAAAAAAAAGAAAAACTATTTTACTTCGAACATCCCCACTCTCTCTAGGTAGTTTGGGGTTGGGCGCTCCGGGGACACTCTGGGGTTGAGCACTGGGCACTGCAGGGGCACACCGGGGTTGGGCACCCTTGGGACACTCTGGGGTTGGGCACTCCAGGACACAGTCTGAGGTTGGGCACTCCAGCCAGGACACTCTGGGGTTGGGCACTCCAGGGATGAGCGAGGAGTAGACCGGGCGAGGAGAAGAGTTGAATTTAAAATCTAACAACCCCACACCAAGGGTGTTGCAATGGCCTCCCCGACCTCACGATTTGTGGGGAACCGCCCATTCTGCCGCGCTTTCTATTGTTGTTAGTTCCGTGGGCATTCGGGTTTTTCTAGAATGTCTCAAAATGCAATGCCGCGTACGCCATCTCTCCCTTTCGTTTCACCGCTCCTGCAAGTCCTCGCCGCCGCGGTCCTCGCTGCGATCTTCGCGCTTCTGGAACTTCAGCCTGGCTGACTGGCTGTATGGGGCATAGTATGGCAGCATATGGCAGCATATGGCAGTGTCTTCGCATGCTTCCATATTCTTCCGCAATCCCCTCGCACCCGGCAGCGTTCACCATCTCCATGAAGGTCTCCACGTCGAAGCCCTGCCGGTGTAGCGCTGGTATATGCTGGCATCCTACACCTTGAACCGTTCTGCTGTGTTCTCACATGTTGTCGGAAATCCTCAGACCTCCAGGTCCATGTCACCAGAGTTGTCGTACTTTGCGCGCTTGTTCTCGTCTGACAGGACCGTGAAGGCCTCCGGATGGCACCGACTCCCACGGCAGCAACCATGCAACAATGATGATAAGATGCCTTAGAAAAGAGCTTGAACAAAAAGAATCAATGAGACAAAGAGGCCAACCTCTGCGACCTTCTGAAACTTGAGCTTGGCGTCGGGGTCGTCGGGGTTCTTGTCGGGGTGGTACCTGACGAGCGGGGTTCGGTGAGAGGCGCCTTGGCTATCATTTTTTGTTGAGGCTGTTCAACTTCTGCGTCGGTATCTATTGAAGCCCTTAGAGCCAGGGTTAAGCGAAAAACATCCGGGCCCGGCTAAAGTATATGGACCGTAAAACCCTTTAAATGGGCTTCGTGAAGAGGCCCCCCTCCCCCCCTTCCTGGGGATGCTTCAGTCACTCAAAATGTTTGCTTTCGTCTGCGCCTCAGGGAGCGCTTCCGGTAGGCCCGCTTGATGTCATCGGCTCGCGCGCTTCGCGGGAGCCCGAGGATCCTGGCAAGGATGCGGGCCGGGGAGGGGAGGGTTGAATCGGGTTGAAGTTTGGGGTTTCAGGGCTTGGGGCGTTAATCTCTGCGGCGACGCTACGACTCCGCACTCTTCAGATCGAGCGTGAGTGATTTCTCAAAGGAGTCCAGGCCTGTACAGGTCGCTTTCCGCAAGCAGGTCAATGTCTTCACCCTCCGGATCGCGGCTTCCACTGCGGAAGAGTCCTCTGCAGAGCAGCAAAGGAATGCAAAAAAGATGCGAAGACACGCATTTCACGCATCTACACACACCACCGGTAGCTTTGTCATCTCCAGACCGCTCCTTGCAAAAGATCGAAGTACGCCTGCGCCGCGAACCTGGCATAGCCCACAGGACCGACTCACTTCGATCTTTCATATGGCAGCTTTGGGCAATTACGGTGACAAGGTTAAGGTTGTGGTGAGACAACACCAGCTTGTTTGGGGACAGCGCACTGTTCGCTCGAGTCAGCCGTTTTGGGGCATAACTGAACAAGACTGCGGACAGCTGCAAACAACTTACAAACCCCATTCCGAGCACGAGAGCATTCTGACAAGTCGACATGAGCAGGCAAGGCACATGGATCGTGCAACAAAAGACAGCCAACGGCACAAGCATGAACAGCGCAAAGACTCCACATGTGCAAATGATAGTGGTCAACAATATGTATATTGTACATAAGAAGTTCAGTCAGAGAGGGCAAGCACTGCAAGGTAAACAACTAGAACAAGCGGGAGGGACGGCCACGGTTCGCCAACATCATCCGCACTGCGAGATACAAAAGATTTCGGAAAATCACATCAAAAATTCCAGGGAGTAAAATGAAAAGAGTCAGCTCTCTGCAACAGGCACCCGGTGTGAGTGCCCCCGCCTTTGGAGAAATGTCTCTGCGGAGGTGTTAGGGGGGGACAAAGAATCCTCGTGAGTTAGGAGGCATCCAACAAACACCAACAGCCCAACAGCATCAACACAGCACCAAACAGCACCAGGGTCACGCGAAGCGGGCATCCACCGTCTGCCTGCCTCGGATTTTCGGGAGCAACTTGTGCCCATCTCAAAGTCTCAGTCTTGCTCTCAGCTTACACTCAAGTTAAGCACGTAAGTCTGTTTAAAATCGTTCGATGCCCATTTTAAGTTGTTTTGTTTATGTGCTCATGGTTAACACGCACTTTGCTGTAGGCAGGTCTGAGGGCCGCACAGAGAGGGCACCGTCCGGAAGGGTTCGACAGCTCTGTTCCTGGCGCCGCCTAGGCAGGAACCATGCTTTTCCTATGGGGCTCTCAAGGAACTCTCCTTTTGGTGGAAGGTTCTGGGGACGGTGCTTCGTCCACCGAAAGTCTACGCGAGCGGAAAGCGGGCTTCTCACCCGGATTGAAGAGGACCACCTTTCCAGGAGAGCAGAGCAAAGACGCAGAGCAAAGACGCAGAGCACAATAGAGACCAAGGCAGGGTGTGCAAACCCCTGTACGTGTCTGTACATGTCTGTACATCCTTGACTGCTTTTGAGACTTTTGGTTCGAGCGCTTTGTCGACTTGGCTCCAAGCGTTCCGGTCATGGTAAAGGACCTGAAGGCTTGCGGCTCAAAGGGCTCGTTGCTCTGCTCTTTTGGCTCAATTTGCTCCTTTCTTTCATTTTCTTTCAGTCTGAGGCCAAGAGCCATGCGCCAGTCAGAAGAACTGGCTTGCGCTTCTTCGCCTTCTCCTTGGAGCGCAAGGGCTGCACCAGGCTGAGGTACTCGCATGTACTCGCCACTTCAGCGCTCCTGCGGCCTCTTGCTCTGAAACCTCCGCCGGCGCAGGTAAACGAGGGGGCACGCCTCCAGTAGAACAGATAATCTGCCGCGTACCCTGAGTCTACCCTCTCTCGCCTCTCTCGCCTCTCTCGCTTCTCTCTCTCCTCTCTCGCCGCTCTGTCCTCTCCCGCTATGTTCACTCCACTTGCCCCTGAGCCGCTGTTCAAGAAGCTGGGCTCGCGGCGCTTGGGGCGCTTGGAAGAAGGCATCAGGCCTCGGCGGCCCGTGCTCCCAAGAGTGGAACACCGCAACGCCCACGCTTCACACAACACTCGACAGAGCGCAAGCACACTCGCGGCCGGTCTTCCAGGATCTTCCAGGCCAGTTGCTTGATTTCCTTCCCTTACAGCCTTACAGATTTAAGCGAGCTTGGGCCGTTCATTCTCGGCAAATACAGCAGTCCTGGGGCTGTAGCACCGTCCCTCTCAAAGCTTCCCGTCAGATCCACACGAATGTTACACATCGCGCCAGATGAACACTGTGAAAAGCCTCAGACCATTCCCTTCCCCGCCCTAACCGCTCAGAACGAAACAATGCCCGACTTCTGCGGGCAGAGCAACCGACAGACTCCACAGAGCTGAGATGCACAAACTTACCATGTCGATGCCTAAACAAGCCTCAATGTATCAAATATGTATCGCCGAATCGCACGATCGTTTGTAATCCCCAAGCTCAGGCCCCTGCTAGGGGAGCCCTGCCTGCAGCTGTCAAAAGGCGCGCAGTGCAGCGAGTCCATCCTGCAAGTCGCCGTTTTCCCACCCGAAAACAAGAGACGCAGACAAACTTCAGAAAAAGCAAAGAGGTAGTTTCTAGGGTCAGGCCTTAGAGGAAACTTCAAAGTTGGGTTGCTTTTTGCAGTTTCCTGATGGTGCGCGATACCGGGGCAGTACTGCTAGCTATGTTGCGACCGCCCAATTAGGACCACAGTCGTCCTGTCTGCCAAGAGCTCCCCAGGGCGCTTCGCATTTGTGGCCTCCAGAATCAATCGAAAGCACAGCAATTCGAGCATTGCCTTATCGGGCACAAGGGACAAGCCTCATCACCAGACGGCCTGGCTTCTGACATGTAGTCTCAAGCCATGTGTGCAGAGCGGGCGCCACAGTTCCAGCGCTGAATGTGTCCCCAACTGATCACGGCCGCATGGCACGGTGACTGCGGCTGCCAAGCCGTATTGAGGTACTATGATGTGCTACGATGTGCTATGATGTGCTATGATGTGCTATGATGTGCTACGTGCAAAACAAGGCAAAGCCTGCAATGTGCAACGCTGCTCAATGCATCAAGTCTACATTGCAGGGCTTGCGGCATTCAGACGTGGAGATGGCTGTAAGTGCTCACAGCCGCCAGCAGGCAAGCTTCGATGAGTCCATCTCTACCAACTCCATACCACAGCTTTGTGCACAAAGTGCACACAGTGCACACAGTGCACACAGTGCACAGACTCAAGGAAAACACTCTGAAATGCACGGACACCTGTCAGAGAGCACTCCAGGAGGAGGCGCAAAAACAGTGCAAACAGGGAGCAAAAGGCAGAAGAGGCTCGCGCCAGGCCGCTAGAGGACACTCGAGACACAAGAGCAGAGCTGACTCAGCTGACAAATGCGTTTGGAAGGCGCGAGCTGAACAGGAGATGCCCCCATAGGACCGAGTTCCCGATTCCACAATGGCCGATCTGAGGGCCATGGCGCTCTCAGCCAGACCTCGGAGACATGCCTCCAGCTGCGCATCAGCAGCTCATGCTGCGCCCATTCGCTGTTGTCCCAGACATGAAACTGATTAAACACATTGCCATCGACAGAAAAAAGCTAACCTCGCTCGCGGTGTTGCAGCGTAGCAGCACTTTCATCTCAAGCGCATCCACCAAAATCTCTTTTTGCGATTTCTGCAGTCAAGTTGGAGATGTCGGAAGCTGTACAGCAGGGCACCTGCTTGCACGGGTTGCGCGACTCGCCGTGACTCAAAAAAATTCTCATTGTGCAAACAGAATATACATAATGAGTCACATCAGACCAGGGACCGGATGCCGGTCGCAAAGGGAATTGCAGGACCAAACTGCTCTTATGCAGGTCCTGGACCGACGCCGTGTCGGACCTCTTTGTAAATCAGCCCTGTACGGGGTTTGCCACCCATTTGGGAGCTGGTGGCATTTGGGATCGTCACGGTGCTTTCTGCGTGGGTGCCTTCTCTGCGGAAAGAAGCAGAAGGCTGCGCAGCACCGTTCAGCAGCGCCACACTCTGGAAAGGTTATGCACTCCACTCGGTCAAATTACGGATGTCAAACTTGTCGTGATGACTCATGTGTGGGCTGCTCTTTCTGCTTTTCGCAGAGCTCACGTGCAGGTGGGGGCGGGCAGGGCTGCGCAGGCGGCAGGAACATCTTGCCCTGCCTGCATGGAAAATAATCTGCACTCTGCCCTGCGGCTCCCCGTCCCCTGCACATTCCGAGCAAGGCCTAGCATGTAAAAAACATGGGCCTGTGAGCTGTGAAGGCAGCCCGGAACGTGGGCAAATTGGGCCGCAAGCCAACAGGCAAAAGCGGGCCCAGGCTGTCAGTACTGTCCCTACATTGCTTACATGATGGGCGTTCGACGAGGCCTTCACAGTCAAGGAGCAGAATAAAAGGAGGGGCTCGTACAAACACAACGTCGGAACCCTCCAATTTGTAGAAAACTCAGACGTGCGGGCACCGTTCCCAGCACTCATGTCCACCCCTCTCGCTCTCCTGCATCCTGCTTTGCTCTTCTCCACCCTGTCGCCTACTGCGCTGGGAGCTCGAGGGGTGGGTTCTTTCCTACGGTAAAAGTTCATGGTTCCTACGGGGTCATGACAGCTCGCGCGCGGGTGAAGGTTTGCTGAAGGTGGACAGAGAAGCCATCAGCCTGCGGGGAGCGAGGTGCACAGAAGGAAGCATAAGGAAATGCAAGTCATCACAAGCGCTCCTGAGACTGTGCCACCAGCTCGACCAGCCGCGCCACTGAGAGCCTCAGGGGGAGGATTTCTCAGATTTGGGCGGGCTGAATCAGATCAGCGTGCCGAAGCCGGGAGAGTTGGGCACATCGTCACGTCGTAAGGTTTGCATCAGACAACCAACATGCGCAACATGCGCACAACTTCTCCGCCGTTCTCCGCCTCTTCAGGATCACTCGCAGGAATGTGCTCTTGCTGCGCGGCACAGGCGTCGTTGGCAACGGCGCCGAGAGCTCTTGGAGCCTGCTTTGGAGCAAGCCCAAAACCTCCGCCATCGGCTCAGCAAGGCCCTCAGCAAAAACCAGGGTGCAAAATGAATCATTTACATTCTGCTAAACATTCAATTACTTATACAACATGCTTCAGTGTCTGTGTGTGCGCAGAATGTGCAAGAACCCCATCGACTCGAGCCGCACCTGATCTTGGCAACGCGTGGCGATGTAGGGCAGGAGGACGGACAGCACCTTGCAAAAGGAATTCGGATTCCACAGACGTCGGGGGGCCCTACCTCCACACACCCGGCACGCGCAGGGCCTGCTGCTCGTTCAAGCTGTCGAGACACTGACGCTGTCGCTTGTCAAGCTTCAGCTTCGGCCTCACAAGGGCGCGGCCCTGTTCCCAGATTTCCCCAGACTCCCAGGTTCCGGCAATGACACGGCGATGACTGCGCAGTGTGGCGCAGACAGCTCGCCAGGTCTCTGTTCCCCTCCATGGCCTCGTGTGCTCTAGATGGCAGTATTGGCACGCGGCGCCCTGTTCACAGTTGCCGTGCATGAAGCGAACGCAAGGACGTCCGCACACCTTGCAGGGCATAAACATGCCCCGTGCTTCATCTCATTTCGTCATATTCGCCTCGGCTTCCTGCCGAGAAGCGTCTGGAACAAGCAGACCCGGATCGGGCCTCCTTCCCCCTAACCCAACCCTTCCCCCCATGCAAAATTTTCTGGCCACCCCCCCCACCCCCCCCCCACCCTTTGACCCCGCTGCCCTTCCTCCCCTTTTTTTGCGAAACCCTCTTTCCTCCTTTCCTGTCCTGGCCGGCCCGGCTGCCGAGGCGGCGCGCGCAAGCGTTTCCAATCATTGTCTTAATGACTGTCAATGGGGGTCACCCGCCTCTGGGTGACCAAAGCCGCCTTCACTCAGGGCCAACACCTCCTCCAACACCTCAGCCTCCTCAGAAGGCGAAACCGGAACATCCCCCACATCCTCGGCATCCGTGGCATCCTTGGCATCCTCGACCGTCTCGATCTTGCAGTCCTCGGTCTCGTGCAAGCCGAAGGACGCTGCACGCCTTTGCAGGAGGTTTTCCACGAACCGGGACTCTGCGTGTTCCTCGGCGCAAGGATATGCAAGGCTTTCCCGCTTTACTGACCTTACCGACGCCACATGACACCACACCACAGCTCTTGAATTCTGTCGGCTCCGTGATGCTTACATGACTTCCACTGTGCGCGCAAGGCGCATGGCCAGCAGACTCGCTCCGAGGAGGCAGGCTGCGAGCGCGCTGGCTGGCGCCGCGCACCACGTCCTGGTCCTGCAGGGGCCATGGGCCGGGTGGGCGCCGTGCCCGCACACGGAGGCACACACAGGCACACACAGGCACACACAGGCACACACAGGCACACACAGGCACACACAGGCACACACAGGCACACACAGGCACACACAGGCACACGCAGGCACACGGAGGCACACGGAGGCACACGGAGGCACACGGAGGCACACCGAGGCACACACGGGCACGCCCACACGGGCGCAGCACACGCGCGCAGAACGTCGAGGGCTCCTGGCCTGGACAGAGATGAAGGTCGAGCGGTACCTGTGGCAGCACAAGCTTGCAAAGGCTATTGCAGCTATTGCAAAGCAATAGAAGTGAAAGAAAAGGCTTTGTGGGCTGCGCACGTGAGCTTGGCGGGCATCTCGGATCGAACGGAGCAGGCTTCCGCGATTGCGACTGTCTGAAACTTCCCTCTTGGAGCCGATGGCTACGTCCATCGAGCCTGGAACCCACATCCCGGACTTCAACAAGGCATTGGACAAACCTCATCGCAACATTACGTGTGGTGATGTGCTGCGTCCTCGGGCTTCGGGGTGGGTTTCTTGCCGACAACTCCCGTGGCAAAGCAAAGCTCGTGGCTAGACCCGGTACCAAAAATGCGCAGCTTTGCCTGTGCCCAGTAACAGGCAAAAAGCACGCAGTCCCAAGCTAAAGGCATCGTGGCTTCGCTTCAAGGCGCGCCACAGCCGAGCTTTCAATGCAGCAGATGAGTGGAGTGGAGGAAAGCGTATGAAGATTATAAACGAGAAAAATAGGCCTTTTCTCCCTCTTTATTATCTTCCAGTATTCCTTCATTAGCAATATTGTGACGGTGGCCGCTATAAATTAATACTGATATTGTATGTTAAAAGTAGTATTGTTATAAGCTGGTGTCCTCGTTCTCGCTTGAAAAGAAAAGAATAATAAATGCGAGAACGAAGGCAGTAAATTTAATGAAGCAAAGATTCGTGAAGAAGTAAACGACATGAAAGTAGTAAATTATAAGGAGAAAAGGGAACAAAAAGCTTATTCATAATGTAAGCCCTTATAAAATAGCTCTTTTTGGACGAATTTCTCAAACAGGAAAAAATTAGAATCTTATTCCGAGAGCCCAATCGACTGAATGCTGTCCTTCTGCCAGTCACTGGGACTTACCCTTGGCCGGCACGCACCTTCGCTTGCGGTGTTCCATCGTAGCAGCACTTGGCCTCAAGAGCCTCCACCAAGAAGAGTTTTTTGCTTTTTCAATTTTCCGCCTTCAGCGCGGCATCCCTGCAAAGGAAGAAGCTGTACAGCAGGGCGCCCCTATTCAATCTTGCAGTGTCACTGACTCGGCTTGTATAATTTCGGGCTGGACCAAACTGCTCTTGCGCAGGTCCTGGACCGAGGCCGGGCACATGTCAGTTTCTGTGCGGGAATAAGAAGAAGAGTTGAAGAAGAGATGCGCAGCACCGCTCAACACCACACTCGCGAAGGGCTCATACGACAGAACTGTTCGCACGTGAGTGAGTGATGACCCATGTGTACATTGTGTACAGTGTGTGCTGCTCTTTCTGCGTTTCGCAGAGCTCAAGTGCAGGGTGGGGCCAGGGCTGCGCAGGCGGCCGGAACATGTTACCCGGCCAGCATGGAAAACACTTAGCGCTCTCCCCTGTGGCTCCCGTCCCTTGCACATTCCAGGCGGGGCATTGCACGAAAAAACATTGGCCCGTGAGCTGTGAAGGCAGCCTGGAACATGGGCCGCAAGCCATCAGGCAAAAGCGGGCCCAGACGAGCATGCTGTCGAGCTTTTGTCAGTGCTGTCCCTACATTGCCTACATGCTTGGCGTTCGGCGAGGCCTTCACAGTCAAGTGGCAGACAAATGGGAGGGGCTCGGAAACAACGTCGGAACCCTCCAATTGCAGAACTCATGTCCACCCCTCTCGCTCTCCTGCATCCTGCTTTGCTCTTCTCCACCCTGTCGCCTACTGCGCTGGGAGCTCGAGGGGTGGGTTCTTTCCTACGGTAAAAGTTCATGGTTCCTACGGGGTCATGACAGCTCGCGCGCGGGTGAAGGTTTGCTGAAGGTGGACAGAGAAGCCATCAGCCTGCGGGGAGCGAGGTGCACAGAAGGAAGCATAAGGAAATGCAAGTCATCACAAGCGCTCCTGAGACTGTGCCACCAGCTCGACCAGCCGCGCCACTGAGAGCCTCAGGGGGAGGATTTCTCAGATTTGGGCGGGCTGAATCAGATCAGCGTGCCGAAGCCGGGAGAGTTGGGCACATCGTCACGTCGTAAGGTTTGCATCAGACAACCAACATGCGCAACATGCGCACAACTTCTCCGCCGTTCTCCGCCTCTTCAGGATCACTCGCAGGAAGGTGCTCTTGCTGCGCGGCACAGGCGTCGTTGGCAACGGCGCCGAGAGCTCTTGGAGCCTGCTTTGGAGCAAGCCCAAAACCTCCGCCATCGGCTCAGCAAGGCCCTCAGCAAAAACCAGGGTGCAAAATGAATCATTTACATTCTGCTAAACATTCAATTACTTATACAACATGCTTCAGTGTCTGTGTGTGCGCAGAATGTGCAAGAACCCCATCGACTCGAGCCGCACCTGATCTTGGCAACGCGTGGCGATGTAGGGCAGGAGGACGGACAGCACCTTGCAAAAGGAATTCGGATTCCACAGACGTCGGGGGGCCCTACCTCCACACACCCGGCACGCGCAGGGCCTGCTGCTCGTTCAAGCTGTCGAGACACTGACGCTGTCGCTTGTCAAGCTTCAGCTTCGGCCTCACAAGGGCGCGGCCCTGTTCCCAGATTTCCCCAGACTCCCAGGTTCCGGCAATGACACGGCGATGACTGCGCAGTGTGGCGCAAACAGCTCGCCAGGTCTCTGTTCCCCTCCATGGCCTCGTGTGCTCTAGATGGCAGTATTGGCACGCGGCGCCCTGTTCACAGTTGCCGTGCATGAAGCGAACGCAAGGACGTCCGCACACCTTGCAGGGCATAAACATGCCCCGTGCTTCATCTCATTTCGTCATATTCGCCTCGGCTTCCTGCCGAGAAGCGTCTGGAACAAGCAGACCCGGATCGGGCCTCCTTCCCCCTAACCCAACCCTTCCCCCCATGCAAAATTTTCTGGCCACCCCCCCCACCCCCCCCCCACCCTTTGACCCCGCTGCCCTTCCTCCCCTTTTTTTGCGAAACCCTCTTTCCTCCTTTCCTGTCCTGGCCGGCCCGGCTGCCGAGGCGGCGCGCGCAAGCGTTTCCAATCATTGTCTTAATGACTGTCAATGGGGGTCACCCGCCTCTGGGTGACCAAAGCTGCCTTCACTCAGGGCCAACACCTCCTCCAACACCTCAGCCTCCTCAGAAGGCGAAACCGGAACATCCCCCACATCCTCGGCATCCGTGGCATCCTTGGCATCCTCGACCGTCTCGATCTTGCAGTCCTCGGTCTCGTGCAAGCCGAAGGACGCTGCACGCCTTTGCAGGAGGTTTTCCACGTACCGGGACTCTGCGTGTTCCTCGGCGCAAGGATGTGCAAGGCTTTCCCGCTTTACTGACCTTACCGACACCACATGACACCACACCACAGCTCTTGAATTCTGTCGGCTCCGTGATGCTTACATGACTTCCACTGTGCGCGCAAGGCGCATGGCCAGCAGACTCGCTCCGAGGAGGCAGGCTGCGAGCGCGCTGGCTGGCGCCGCGCACCACGTCCTGGTCCTGCAGGGGCCATGGGCCGGGTGGGCGCCGTGCCCGCACACGGCACACACAGGCACACACAGGCACACACAGGCACACACAGGCACACACAGGCACACACAGGCACACACAGGCACACACAGGCACACACAGGCACACGCAGGCACACGGAGGCACACGGAGGCACACGGAGGCACACGGAGGCACACCGAGGCACACACGGGCACGCCCACACGGGCGCAGCACACGCGCGCAGAACGTCGAGGGCTCCTGGCCTGGACAGAGATGAAGGTCGAGCGGTACCTGTGGCAGTACAAGCTTGCAAAGGCTATTGCAGCTATTGCAAAGCAATAGAAGTGAAAGAAAAGGCTTTGTGGGCTGCGCACGTGAGCTTGGCGGGCATCTCGGATCGAACGGAGCAGGCTTCCGCGATTGCGACTGTCTGAAACTTCCCTCTTGGAGCCGATGGCTACGTCTATCGAGCCTGGAACCCACATCCCGGACTTCAACAAGGCATTGGACAAACCTCATCGCAACATTACGTGTGGTGATGTGCTGCGTCCTCGGGCTTCGGGGTGGGTTTCTTGCCGACAACTCCCGTGGCAAAGCAAAGCTCGTGGCTAGACCCGGTACCAAAAATGCGCAGCTTTGCCTGTGCCCAGCCCCATCCTCTCTCCTTTTTCTTGCAACTGGCATCTTTACCTTTTCTTAGTCAGATTTTCTGAGGCCCACGGGGCTCATGGGGCTCACGGTCACACGGTGGCTCACTTTCTCGAAGAGGTATCGGCACAGCCTCTGCTGCTCCACCAGCCTTCGGAGCGCTTGGGGATCCCAGGCATCCTTGGGCTCGAAGGAGAAGCTGAGAGAGATCATCTGGTCCAGTGCCTTCTCGAGGTCTTTTGGGATGGGGAAGTTGGCAAAGCACAAGACGCGGCCCGGATGCCCAAGACACTCTGGCCGAACAAATTTTTGGAGGTCCTTGGGAACTTGGTTCAAGGACCCGAACTGCAGTATCTTATAGGGAAACTTCCACAAATCTTCCTCCGGCAGGTAGTGCTTGGCATTTGCTGGGGAGTAGATGAGGGGGTCCATGAAGCCTGCCTCCCGCTGCTCAGCCACTCCAGTCATGCACCACCAACGGGGCATCTCGGGAGTGAAGATGTTGCGGGGTACCAGGAACATGGGGCAGCAGGACCAGGGCGGCACCTCGCCGTACCAAACGTCCACCATGGTCAAGGACACAAAGAGGCTGCAAACTGTGTACCTTCTCGGGACAGGCTCGATAAGCTCGAGCGCACGATATAGCAGCATTCGATACAAGTGCGTTAGCACAAGTTAATTCACAAGGACCTGGAAGATAGAAAGCTTCTCCAGGCTTCATTCCTAAAGTTGGACAAGATAATAGATGAAAAGATGTCCAAAAGAAGCATACAAACAATGGAGCTTCAGAAACTCGAAAACCTCCAAAAAGAAGAAAATGATTATTAAGACTTCACATTTTTAGTGAATTCTCTTAATAAATCTGTAGACCAAATATGAAAACCACAACAAAAGATGATAAAATATGAGAAAATAATTCAATGAGAAGTGAATTCCAGTCCAACAATAAATATTGAATCCTGTAAAGATATATGGAATTAGAATAAGAGCAAAGAATAATCCGCCGACCCCAGCTTTGAGCGGGGGAGGCGCTAGTGAAGACCCCATGGCGTCGGCGTAACCCCGCACCTGAAGCTGACTTTAAAAGGGCCCCAGTCCGTGCCCCGCCCTTCCCGCCCTTCCCGCCCTTCCCGCCCTTCAGTGCATGCCCGCCCCCTCCACCCTTCCCGCCCGCTCTGCCCACCATGGCTCCGCATGGTCCCATGGCTCCATGCCCCTGGCCCTCCGCCCACTGGCCCCATGGCCCATGGTCCCATGGCATGCCTGCCCCCTCAGCTCCCGCCCTTCCCGCCCATGGCTCATGGCCCCATAGCCCCGTGGTCCCATGGCTCCATGCCCCCTGGCCCACTCCTGGCCCCATGCTCCTTTGTTCTATGAGCTGGCTTCGTGCTGACTGTAAAGGGTCCTTCCCCATGGCCCCCTATGGTCCCATGGCTCCATGCTCCCTGGTCCCATGCCCCTCTCTTGCTAAGCTGACTTTAAAGGGCCCCAGTGCATGCCCGCCCCCTCCACCCTTCCCGCCCTTCCCGCCCTTCCCGCCCGCTCCGCCCACCATGCCTCATGGCCCCATGGCCTCATGGTCCCATAAAGGGCCCCAGTGCATGCCCGCCCCCTCCACCCTTCCCGTCCATGGCTCCGCATGGTCCCACGGCGCCATGCCCCTTGGTCCGCCCACTATGGCCCATGGTCCCATGGCATGCCCGCCCCTCAGCCCTTCCCGCCCTTCCCGCCCATGGCTCATGGCCCCACAGCCCCGTGGTCCCATGGCTCCATGAAACCTGGCCCACTCCTCTGGCCCCATGCTCCTGTCTTCTATGAGCTGGCTTCGTGCTGACTGTAAAGGGCCCTTCCCCTTCCCGCCCGTTCCGCCCGCCATGGCTCATGGCCCCCTATGGTCCCATGGCTCCATGCTCCCGCTCCCTGGTCCCATGCCCTCTCTTGATAAGCTGACTTTAAAGGGCCCCAGTGCATTGCCTCATGGCCCCATGGCCGCATGGTCCCATAAAGGGCCCCAGTGCATGCCGCCCCCTCCACCCTTCCCGCCCATTTGCCCCCTCCGCCTCCCCATGGCCGAGACATCCCTGGCCGCACTGGTTCCCTGGCCTCATGCCTCTCGAGATCCGATCCAGGGAACCAGTGCGGCCAGGGATGTCTAGGCCATGGGGAGGCGGAACGGGCGGGAAGGGCGGAGCAAGCGGGCAGGCGGAGCGGGCAGGCAAGCGGGCATGCGCTGGCCGCCCGCTCCGCCCGCCATGGCTCATGGCCCCATGGCGCCATGGTCCCATAAATGGGCCCCATGGCCCCATGGTCCCATCGCTCTAGCCCCCTGACCCCATGCCCCCGCTCCGCCCTTCCCGCTTGCTCCGTCCTTCCCACCCGCTCTTATCATGGCCTAGACATCCCTGGCCGCACTTTCATGCCTGGTCCCCTGGCCTTATGTTTCTAGACCCGATCAGATGACTTTAAAGGGCCCCCAGTGCATGCCCGCCCTCTCCGCTCTTCCCGCTTGCTCCGCCCTTGCCGCCCGCTCCGCCTCCCCATGGCCTAGACATCCCTGGCCGCACTTTCATGCTTGGTCCCCTCTGCCTCTAGACCCGTTCAGATGACTTTAAAGGGCCCCAGTGCATGCCTGCCCGCTCCGTTTGCCCGCTTGCTCCGCCCTTCCCGCCCGCTTTGCCTCCCCATGGCCTAGACATCCCTGGCCGCACTTTCATGCGTCAGTGAAGACCCATTGCCCCTACCACCTACTCCGCCTCATCCAAAGCTCGACCGGGCCCCAGTGCATGCCCGCCTAGATATCCCTGGCCGCACTTTCATGCCTGGTTCCCTGGCCTATGCCTCTAGGCCTGTTCGGATGGCTTGCCTGCCCGCTCCGCCTGCGCGCTTGCTCCGCCCTTCCCGCCCGCTGCGCTTCCCCATGGCCTAGACATCCCTGGCCGCACTGGTTCAGTGGCCTTATGCCTCTAGACCCGATCAGGTGACTTTAAAGGGCCCCAGTGCACGCCCGCCCTCTCCGCTCTTCCCGCCCGCTCCGCCCTTCCCGCTTGCTCCGTCCTTCCCACCCGCTCTTATCATGGCCTAGACATCCCTGGCCGCACTTTCATGCCTGGTCCCCCGGCCTTATGTTTCTAGACCCGATCAGATGACTTTAAAGGGCCCCCAGTGCATGCCCGCCCTCTCCGCTCTTCCCGCTTGCTCCGCCCTTGCCGCCCGCTCCGCCTCCCCATGGCCTAGACATCCCTGGCCGCACTTTCATGCTTGGTCCCCTATGCCTCTAGACCCGTTCAGATGACTTTAAAGGGCCCCAGTGCATGCCTGCCCGCTCCGTTTGCCCGCTTGCTCCGCCCTTCCCGCCCGCTTTGCCTCCCCATGGCCTAGACATCCCTGGCCGCACTTTCATGCCTGGTCCCCTGGCCTTATGCCTATAGACCCGATCAGATGACTCTAAAGGGCCCCAGTGCACGCCCGCCCTCTCCGCTCTTCCCGCTTGCTCCGCCCTTGCCGCTTGCTCCGCCTCCCCATGGCCTAGATATCCCTGGCCGCACTTTCATGCCTGGTCCCCTGGCCTATGCCTCTAGGCCTGTTCGGATGGCTTGCCTGCCCGCTCCGCCTGCCCGCTTGCTCCGCCCTTCCCGCCCGCTCCGCCTCCCCATGGCCTAGACATCCCTGGCCGCACTGGTTCCCTGGCCTTATGCCTCTAGACCCGATCAGATGACTTTAAAGGGCCCCAGTGCACGCCCGCCCTCTCCGCTCTTCCCGCCCGCTCCGCCCTTCCCGCTTGCTCCTTCCTTCCCACCCGAGCCCTAAACCCTAGGCCCTAAACCCGAAACCCTAAACCCTAAACCGTAGACCGCTCACGCTCCTCCTGCCTCTGCGAATTCGTCGAAAGATGGCCTGCCATCCTTGTTCTTGTCCGGTTTGCGCGGAGCATCAGGTTGAGGGGTCGGCGGCACTGGCGGTAGCCATTAAATCGGGCAGCGCGAGGTCCCCAAAGGACCGAGCAAATGCGGACCTTTTAGCCCGGGTCGTCCCGGGAACCCCTGCGTGCCGCCGGTGAACGGTTTTTTTTTCGTGGTTTTTTGCGTCGCCACGGAGGCCCCCAGAGGGCGCGCATCATGAGCATCAGCGGGTCCAGCCCGGGACCCCCAGGCGCGCATCAGGAGCATCAGCGGCTCCCGGACGGGCGCATCAGGAGCATGATGCCCCCCAAAGGGCGGGCATAAGCGACGTGTCTAAGCCCGGGGCTAGGAAAAAGGGAGTTTAGGGGCCTTATAAAGTGCTTAGAAACGTTAAGGGAGTCTAGGAGCCTCAAACGCTTAGAGATTTGAAGGGAGTTTAGGGGCCTGAAGATGCTTAGAAACTTAACGCTTAGAGATTTTAATGGAGTTTAGGGGCCTCAACATGCTTAGAAACTGCTCGCCCCGGGCTTCTGCGTGCGCTGCCCGCCCATGGGCGCAGCCCCTTAAATAACCAAGCGTTCACGTTCTTGCTTGAGCACTTGAAAATACACACTCTTTCTCATAATGATCCTGGCGGCAAGAATCCCAGGCTAATTCCCAGGTCCAGACTGCCAATGCCCTCGGCCCCTTGTTGCAGGGATGCCCAAGTCCTTTGCAAAGAGGCACCCGGCAGGATAAACAGTAGAATGACGGGACACCACTGAGACAGGAAGTCGAAACCCTGCAAGAAGTAGACACCTCTCAGGGCACCCATGCAGTGGGCCAACTTAAGCATGCATACTGAACGGTTACCCTGGCCCTGCCAGAGTGGAAGGCGAGGGCGGCACATGCAAAGGCGACTCCAGCAGTCTGCGAAGTCAAAGCGGCCGGGAAGCAGACCTCAAACAGCAGCGACAGCGTACCTGCCAAGACCTCAGCTCAACAAAACACACACTGCATGAACCCAAAAAAAAGTACGGCTTCGAACACATGGCGCCACACGCGATGTCTGTGCAATCGCAATCGCTGCAACTGGATGGCCAATGCCCGCGGGGACTGCACTGCAATGGCCTGAAGGAGCCACGTGAATTCCCCCCCCGGCCGCGACCACATGGCATCGAAGGTGTATGCCTGCAGTGTTGTTCCATTTCCCCAGAACTGTCTGAAGTACACAGAACCTGCAAGTTTGCAGAGGCCCGATCCACAGTATGTGGCCGCCACTTGTAGCTTTATGAATTCCAGCGCCCACCCATCAGCTTCGTCCCAACGAGCACCGGCATCGATGTCGTCGATGCTCGGGGAGAGGACCAGCATCAAAAGAGTGCCCGGGATCAAGGTGCTCCCATGTCCACCAGCTTTTGTTGCACAGAAGATCTGCGAGTAGTACAGGAACCAGCTTACGAAGGCGACGCCAAGGCAGCCACGAGGAGCCAGACTTGCGCAGGAGGCCAATAAACTAAGGCAAAGCAGCGCACAGGCCATGTCGTGCTGACTTGGGCTCAGCCAAGGGGCCGGCAGAAAACCATAGATCCGCTCACCTGCGTGCCCCAAACCCCGGCGTTGGCTTGGCTGGATCTGGGAGGAATAAAACCAGCGGTAGAAGCTTCGGTGGCCCTCCAAATGGTTCCAGCCGAGGCTCACCGCAATGAAGGCACAGTAGCAGCACTGGAAGCTCCGGGCCGGGTTCACACCGGCACGCAGCATCTTTGTAAGCACCGGGACCAAAGCAACGAGCCCCAAAAACCACAACACTGGGGCCCCGAAATTCCGCCCGCGGTGGACCCGGGCCCGCCAGGCCTCCGCCACTTCTGGGACCTCCGACCCTCTCCCATTGCCATGGCCATTCATAAGCTCCGCTGTTCCTCTCTCCCTCTTCTCCGCTTGCCCCTGCACATGCTTGCTGGCAACTAGTCTGTTCCAGAGTCCTAGCCAATCTCATCTGCTAGGAGGTATGAGTGGGGCGGCTGTTTCTGCTGCTTGGCACACGACCTTCTGCAGCGTTGTGGAGCGTAGTCTGTCTGCGAGTGCTCAGGTACGTGCACATAACACTTCCGTCTCAAGGACTCTAATAAACCCTTCTTCACTACTCCACATGTTGGTTCGCAAAAGCTTCGGCAAGAGGATGCAACTGCACACTGCGAATGCCTCACTCACAAACCGCTGACACCGTCGCACCACCAACGCACGCTGGGCGCACGCTGCTGTGCATGCTGCTACGCACGCTGCTACCTCGGTGTTTTGGAACTCACACTTTGATCTCACCAGCTTGACGATTCATGTCGAGGCGTGCAGAGGGCATATGCGCAATGCTTGCCAAGAGTCAGAAACATTCGTCAGATTTCGTCAGGCTACTGGAATTTGTGTCAACTTTAAGTGTCTTTTGACGAATTGTGCAAAATAGAGAGAGAGAGAGAGGACCTCTTGGTCAAATATGTCCTCATGCGGAAGCAGAATGGTTGCTAAACGAAAGCTGGTTTCTCACCGTGGCATGGATCCGAGATTTGCCAACTTCACATGGTTTCGTCCAAGGCGGCACCTATGCCCTCCGCACGTCAAGTGTGGTGGTGAAACTGAATTTTTCTGCAGAAGAATCAAACGTGCCAGTAGTGGAGCATTCGCTGCAGGAAAAAATTCGACACATGACAGGAGCTGTGCTTCTTTCTCAAAGTTTCCAAGCGCTTGCAACTTCTGACTGTGCGCTTTAGCCAATGGAATCGACTATGCTTTGGCCACCCCTGCCAGTGTGGCAAGTAATGTCGACACAGATTGGAATCTCGTTTAGTTCTCAAAGGTTTTCAAGCTCAGGGCATCCACAACACAAGATCCGGCGCAAGATACGGCTTCTGCAAACCTTCTTGGAGGTGCCCGAGCTCAAAGCTTGCACTGCTGCTCAGCACTAGCAGAGTCAGCAGAGCCATGCTGTTTTTTTGCTGTGAATGCTATGAATGCTATGAAGGCTATCGGCTTGAGGTTCACTGCTTCAGAAGAGACAGTGGCCCACCAGCAAGCCCAAGACTGCCAACCAAATCTCCAACTGCAGCAAGCTGGAGGCACTCTTTACCTTCAAGTCCATGGCCTCCCGTGCATGTGCTGCACATTCTGTGACAAACATCTGGAACATGTATGAACATCACCTCTAATGGGACCTAACACTTCAAGGACACTCACAAAAAAATGAATAAACCTTGGCCTTGGACATCCCTTCGAAGATGTTCCGGAACTCAAAGGCTGACATGCCCCAGACACAGCAGATAGCCATCGGCATCAGTACCCATTCAAGCACGCTGCTTCGCACAGTCAGCTCCGGATGGGTATACGCATCCGTAAGCAAAGCTGCAAGCACCGCTGGGAAGAGCACTAGTCGACAACAAATGTATGCCAACGTGAGGCAAGCGGAGTTCAACTTGTAAAGAAAGCTCTGCTTCAGACGGTGAACATCTGAACAGCACTTTACCAGCTCCACATTGGCCAAGAAAATGTTGGAGGACTCGCAGAGTCCTGCAATGGCCCCCCAGAAGTGCATGCTGCCTTTAACCAGGCCTGTTCCGTACACCAGGATCACCATGACGTGATGCACAAGGATGCGCTTGCGAGATGCATTCATGCCCTTCCAGAACAGGAATGGGATGTGAACCAATAGCCTGGTGCAAAGCAACACACAGCCATGAATGGACGAAAGGCAACTGCCGTTCCAGCGTGCGTCAACGCTTTGGGAGAGAACGTGTATGGATCCAAAGGCGCTTGGTAACCTCAGCTCAACCACATGACCATGATTGACCATGCCTCACCTCGCACAAAAACGTGGCGTCAGACCTTTTCAGACCTCTTGCAGAACCCCTCGCACCCATGAATTGCTGAAACTGTGGTTGAGCGGCAGTGCGACACTGAAGAGGAGCAAGCAAATCGCATCTGCAGCCCACAGGTCTCCCCCGGGTTCGCCACGTGCTTGGTTTAGGTCTCGCACTCTTGGGAATAACATCCATGACACTGGGATCGCGACCACTTGAGCAATTGCACAGATCGTCACATAAACTAACACCAGCTGCCACAGCCCCGCGAGGTCCAAATCATATCGGGGAGTCACCGCCACATCCATCACTCTCACAAAAGGCCTACCCAGGTTGAGCCATTTGCCATGCTGCGCAGAAGCTCTGCCAAAAGCTCCGCAAGATCTGCAAGCGGCCATCGCCGCCAAACGTGTAACCGACCCTTCACCGACTCCAAACCCACGCGATGCCCTGCTCAGCATCCCAAGCTCTATCGATTGTTTCACGCCGCGTCTGCTCTGCTCTGGCCGCACTATGTCACTATGTACAGGAGAGACCACTTCCGTTCAAACTCTGGGACCTGACAGGACTGACAGCCTTACTTCAAGCTGCTTCAGGTTTCAAATCATGGGTCCCAAAGCCTTGGAATGGTCCGATGCGCCAATGCAATGCGCAGCGACTCAGTGATGGTAGCTGATGGTAGCTGATGGCAGCTGATGGCAGCTGGCCAACACCTGCACTTTCCACTCATGGGACAGGCGCAGGACCAACCGATTCACCGTCTTTCGCCCCAGCAGCGTAGATTGCCCCCCCCACGCGCCCCTATCCCACAAGGAGTCCTCGGCCGGTCTGTTTTGACTTCTTGCACTGCCAGACCAAGCGATCTGTCGCCTTCATTGTTTCGACGAGGCGCCTGCAAAACAATGCGGCGCTTGGGGGCTTGGAGATAAAAGTGACAGTGAGCTAGGTTCAGCTAGGTTCAGCTAGGTTCAGCTAGGTTCAGCTAGGTTCAGCTAGGTTCAGAGGCTTCAACATCGAGTCCTTCTAGAAAGGTCCGCCTTGTTCCAGAGTTTGGCGAATCATGTCCACCTCGCAACTCGAGTGTAACTCCCCTCCACCCGCCCCTAGGGTGCCCCCATGGTGCCCTGCTCCGCGCCCTCCGTGCCTGCTGGTGGTTTGGGCCCAGTAGCCGCTCGGCAATGCGAAGGGCCCGCTTCAGTGCGGCCTCCTCGGCATACCGTGGTTTTTCTTCATGAACTCTTCATGGGTTCTTCAAGTGTTCATGTCTCTTCCCAAATGTGGTGCCCCGACGGCAGGCTGTCCCAGGTGGGCTCGGCACAGACCCAAGTTGTAGAGGGTCAAAGCCACCTGAAGAATCAAAAACACCAACACAATCGACACAGTCGACAAAGCCAAAACGAGCAGGTTGCCGTTCCCTGAGCCCGCTACGAAGGGCGTGTCCGGACAGGCCGAAGTGAGGATGACCAAGGCCTTCTGTGATGGATACGCGGCCATGGTCGTCACAAGGCAACCTACCATGGCCTGCTCGAAGTGCTCGGCTGCTTTTTGGTAGGCGCCCCGTGCAAAGTAGTGGTTTCCCAGATTGTTCAGGCCTGGAAGAGCGTGTCTTCTGACGCTGAGAAGATAGATAATATCATTCTCCGAGGGCCGCGGCACTCGGCGACACCGGGATGCTCCTTCCCGACAATGTCCTCACGGGAACATGTCTGCGGGTCTCTGCGGCCTCCCACGGACCCCAATGACCCCCAACATCCCCAAACCGAGGAATCGCGGAGCCGGCCTTGCGCAGTTCCAGGGCCTGCGGCGAAAGCAGAACCACATGTGCTCGCACGGCGTTGGTTTGTCCAACGGCTCGGGCTGTATGGGCACACTGGGCTCTGCTGTACTTCTTCTCTCACAGCGTGGTGAGTGACAGCTGAAGACCACGAAATCGGTCTGCACGAACGGTCGCACGGAGAAAGAGCGCCGATCTGACAAGCCTTCGGCTTCACAGGTCGATTCCCCACGCGGAGCACAAAGTACGGCGTAGGACTTACAGTCTAAAGGACGCTCGGGGCATGAAAGCGCATCAGTAATGCACAAGTCCTCGGACAGCTTGGAACCGATTGCTTGATTTTCATCATACGCATCTTCCCCTCGGACGCGGCAATGGCACGGGTCCGTCCCATGGACGTGTCGGTTTGTGGCCCAGATGGCAAGCGGGACTGCCGAACATGTCAGAATGCTCCCATTAGTGAATCTGCTTTTTCGGTCGACGAAAAAATTGGAAACCAAAACCGCTGAATCAGAAACCAGAACGGCTGAATCAGAAACCAGAGCTGAGTCAGAAACCGAAACGGGAAAATCAGAAACCAGTCTTGAATCTGCAACCAGGACGGCTGAATCAGAAACCCAGACGGGTGAATCAGAAACTAAAACAGGAATTCGGAAACTGGGAAAGAGATCATGCGTGGGCAACCTGCACGCGATTAACCCCCCCCAACCCCCCCCACCTCCTCCCCCCCAGTCCAGCGATGCACGCGGGTTTCTGATGCCTGGTTTCTGATGCGGGCCGGTTTCTGATGCGGAGTTTCTGAGACGGGGCAGTTTCTGATACAGAGTTTCTGATTCGCAGCGAGTTTCTGATGCGCAGTTTCTGATTCGCAGGCCAGTTTCTGATTCTCTTGTTGTTCCTGCTTTTTCGGGCCTCTCGAAAATTGAAGATCGATCGAGCACAAGGCAGTTTCGACCGGCAAGCCAAGCAAGGAGGTTCGTCTGGAAGATCCGACATAGTAAGGACCTGAAAGAGAATCCTTGATCTGAGGCCTCGACGGCCTCGGGCTATGCTTCGGCTGCGCAGCAATCGGCAAATTGGGTTACTGTCGGCGGATAGAGGCAGTTGCGCCTTATATAACTTCTTAACTCATTTACGTCTTGCATCGTTTTGCCTTTCGGTGGTCTGCAGAGCACGGACACTTGCACTTATGGAGCACTGGCGCCAAGCGCTTACCCCAACCTCGTTGCAAACAGCCTCCTATTGCCAATGCTTGCACAAAACCTAGCATCCCGTAAGCCGTAAGCTTTACCAACATCAGCTTAATCCTGAAGTGTGAGCTCCACCATAGTTGCAGAAGCACGCACGTTTATTTCTACAAAAGCATGTTAGAGCCGTTAAACGAAACGACAGCTGTCTAAGTAGCACTGCCACGATAAGTCTCAGACCCCAGCAAGACGTGTTGCGCCCTAGGCCTAGACAGATAGCTTCTATGCAGGATGACCATAAAACCGAACCGCGAACCGGGAAACCGGAACCGTAGGAACCGAACCGTGTAAGAACCCAACCGGGAGCGAACCGTACCGGACACGAACCGTAGAAAACCGAACCGGAAAGGGTTCTTAATTAAACCCGAAACTTATAGGGTACACGCAAACGACGCGAAACGACAGCAGGGGCAGGCGTAAGGCCTGCCCCTGCTGGACAAAACCTGACGAGGCGGGCGAACGCAGGGTTGAGGAATTATGGTTTAGGGTTATGTATATATATATATATATACATACATACATAAACCCTTGGGGCCTGCCCACTTGTGCTGCACATCTTCCCCGCAAGAGCCCGGCACAAAAAGTGACCTTTTTTGGGCCTGCCCAGCCCCAAGCACCTCAAAAAAGGTGACTTTTTGTGGCGCGCCTCTTCCCCGCAAGACAAAAAGTCACCTGTTTCGGGCCTGCCCAGCCCCAAGCACCTCAAAAAAGGTGACTTTTTGTGCCAAAGTCACCTGTTTCGGGCCTGCCCAGCCCCAAGCACCTCAAAAAAGGTGACTTTTTGTGTCGCGCCTCTTCCCCGCAAGAGCCCGACACAAAAAGTCACCTTTTTTGGGCCTGCCCAGCCCCAAGCACCTCAAAAAAGGTGACTTTTTGTGCCGCGCCTCTTCCCCGCAAAGAACCCGGCACAAAAAGTCACCTGTTTCGGGCCTGCCCAGCCCCAAGCACCTCAAAAAAGGTGACTTTTTGTGCCGCGCCTCTTCCCCGCAAGAGCCCGGCACAAAAAGTCACCTTTTTTGGGCCTGCCCAGCCCCAAGCACCTCAAAAAAGGTGACTTTTTGTGCCGCGCCTCTTCCCCGCAAGGGCCCGGCACAAAAAGTCACCTTTTTTGGGCCTCCCCAGCCCCAAGCACCTCAAAAAAGGCGACTTTTTTGTAAAGTCACCTTTTTTGGGCCTCCCCAGCCCCAAGCACCTCAAAAAAGGTGACTTTTTGTGCCGCGCCTCTTCACCGCAAGAGCCCGGCACAAAAAGTCACCTTTTTTGGGCCTGCCCAGCCCCAAGCACCTCAAAAAAGGTGACTTTTGTGCCGCGCCTCTTCCCCACAAGAAGGGTTTAGGGTTTAGGGTTTAGGGTTTAGGGTTTAGGGCTTAGGGTTTAGGGTTTAAGGTTTAGGGTTTAGATTTAGGGTTTAAGGTTCAGGGTTTAAAGTTTAGGGTTCAGGGTTTAAGGCTTAGGCTTTAGGGGTTAGGGTGCAGGGTTTAGGGCTTCAGGTTTAGGGTTTAGGGTTTACGATAATAGGGAGGGGGGGGATTATAATAACACCCCAATGAGGTACCCCTAAACCCTAAACCCAATATTAGGAACCGTGCGAACCGCGGAATCGAACCGTTAGAACCGAACCGCGCACGAACCGTCACCGGTTCATAAAAGGTTCGGTTCATTACAAACCGTACCGAAAGGAACCGTGGCCACCCTGTCTATGCCGAGATACTCACTCCACGACTCTGTGTTTTCCAGTCGGTCGCTTTGTGCTGCAGGCCGGTCGAGAAGTTGATGCTCGACCCTGGGAAGTCTTCCAATGCGAGATGTCGCGGTTCATTCATTCATGGGCGTGATCGATGCTTGGTCTTGAGAGACAAATCGACGTGGTGGTCTTCCCTGTGTCGCTTGCGGTGAGCTGATCGGAAGAAGCTAAAGAAATCATGCTTTCATTCGGTATGATGTTTCATGGAAACAAATGACCAACGTCTAGAGTCTAGAGCTCATTGCCCTCGTATTCCACGTCGTAAGCACTGGATAGCACACGTGTCAGGTTCAACGAACTTTGCACACGATGCAATAACGCTTTACTCAAGCTGGAAGGCAGTCCGCAGGCGTAGATTTAGCAAGATTTCCGCCGCGGCCCTGGTAGATTCATTGTTGGTAAATCGACATGAAGCAAGGTACACTTTTGAAGGAATGCAGAGACGAGAGGGCCAGAACATGCCAGAACACGGGAACTGTGCTGAGAATGGCTCTCCAAGATCTGAGGGGCCTCTTTGTGCTGTGACAGCGCATCCTCGGCCTGCCTGCCACGATCACGTAAAACACAACCCGCTGCGACTCCCAGAAAGTGTCGGCCACGCCCTGCATCGTGGTAGGCCACGCCCAGGCTGCTGCAAACCTCACAAAAGAACATACACGAACCCAGGATGATCATTGATCCATTGATCATCAGAGCACGGGACTTCTGCACCTTCCCGTTTCTTGGAATATCCCCCATCGAAGGAGCCGGCCTCTGACTTCGTGAAGCGAGCATATCTCAACGCCTGGCTCTAAGCGCAGCAGGAGCAATGATGAGACGCCTCCGAAACCCGAGAAAAGAACAAGAGGCGCGCAAACACGCGCAGGAAAAAATTGCACAAAATGCACTGCGATGCTGTGGCCTTGGCGTGCTTCTCAGCATCGCCCGCACGAGCACGAATCGCATCCTCTGAGTCTAAGCGAGAAAGACTAAAAAACAAAAAGACTAAAAAAAATCAAGAGAAAGAGAAAGAGAGAGAGAGAGAGAGAACTTTTTTTGTAGGCCGCGCAAATTAACAGAGAGATTGTACGAGAGAACTTCAGGCTCTTGAGAATGCTTTACAATGTTCTGATGAGGGGCGCTCAGTCCTCCAGCAAGGCTCCCGCGCGCTGGTAGAGGGCGATCGCCTGGCAAAGACCGATTCCCAACTCAGAAGCTCTGCGGAGCCAAAGGCGGATCCTGTGTGGGGTCGCCGAGTTGGTGGTGCTGCCTCCCGGCCTCGGAATCAAGCAGAGGTTGAAAACATGGGAAAACGCAGCGGCCCTATGAGCCGCAACACCCGCCGACCCGACTCTACTGCAAACTGCTGCGCCGCTTCCGAGTCTGAGTTCTTCCCCCTCGCCTCGTGGAGGCTCATGGCCAGGCCGAGGCCTTTTGAGGTCTTTCGGAGCTCCTCCTCCTTTCGACAGTGAAGCAGGGCATGCAAAAGGCATGCAAGGCATGCAAGGCATATGCAATAAGAGCGCTCGTAATTTGCGGAACGAGAACACAACGTGGACCGCGGGCTCCTCTGCCGCGTACTCGGCCTCTTGAATCCTCAGAGTTTCCTGAACGAGAGGCAAAGAACCACTCCTCTCGCCTAAAGTTCCAGGGCTCAAGGGCAGGCTGGGATCTCACCTCTCCCAAGAGCTTTTCAAGGCGCTCCACCGAAGTTCCACCGAAGTTCCACCGAAGCTCTACCGAAGCTCGACCGAAGCTCCTCCAGGTATGCCAAGCCGGTAGCGGCACGGCCGACATCCGCCCCCAGCGTCTCGAACTTGCCCATGTCTCAGCTCTCGTTGGCTACCAGGTCGTCACACACACACACACAGCGCGCGCGTGCGGAGACACGCCAACCACCCAGTACCCAACACTCAACCGTTACCGCATTAGTTCCTCATGAGTTCTCAAGTCAAGCGGCTGATGTAGGTGTTTGAGGTGTTGGAAGCATTGGAAGCACTGGAAGCTTTGATGCTGCTGGTGCTCGAGGTGCTCGAGCTGGTGCTCGAGGTCCTCGACACTCAACAACAGGAGAATTGCTTCTCACCATCTTTGGGGGGGGGGGCCGAAGAGCTGCCTGCGCAGCCGCGGGAGCCCGCGCAGGAGGGCATCCCTCACCGGAAGTGCCTCAGGCAAAGCAAACAGTTGGGGTGAAGCCAGTCTCTCTTCACGGCTCTGTTGAATTCGAATCTCGTTTTGGAGCCGAAGCATTTTCTGGGAGTGTTGGAAAGTTCCCACTCTTCTCTCACAGAGGCTCGTGGTTCGATCTCGTGCTTTCGATGGGTGTTGAACCCAAGTCACAGAAGCGCACCCTTCTCGGAGCACCCTCGTCCATTCTCGGAAGCTGGCGACTCCCCCCCGGAGTGGCTGCAAAGCAAGTGACCGTCTCAGCGGTGCCCCAAAAGCGTTCGAAAGAGCCCTCTCCAATCTCTTTTCTTTCTTCCAGCGGGCGCCTTCTTGATTTCGTTCTTTCCTTCTTTCTTTATTTCTTTCTTTTTCTCTTTCTTTCTTGATTGTGATGTTTTTTCATTTATTTTCCTCCGTTTTGTTCTTTCTGTCTAGTCTTTCCTTATTTCATTACTTCTTTCCTTCTTTCTTTCTTTCTTTCCTTGCTGCTTGCTTGCTTCTCTCTTTCGCTTCCTATCTTCCTATCTTCCTACCTGTCTATCTTTCAATCGTTTTTTCTTTCTGTCCTTCTGTCTTTCTTTCTTTGTTTTGTCTTTATTTCTTTTCGTTGTGGCATGGGGGCCTCAACCCCCGTGCATGCGCACACCCCGGTTCTGCTTCTTCGAGGACCGCTATACATCCAGATCGGCCATACCCTCGACTACCAAGTCCCAGTTCTCGTATCTCCAAAGCCCTTGCCAAACTCCTCTGCAACCCTCCTTGACTACTTGGCCTCCCGGTCGTGCTACTGGCCCCCCTTTACCGAAGCTTCGGTGTCTCTCTTCTTCTTCTCCTTTTTCCTCTTCTTCTGCTTCTGCTTCTTCTTCTTCTTCTTTCACAGCGGAGAGGCTCCCGCTCTGTCTCTCTCTCTCTCTCGCTCTCTCGGCTCTCTCTCTCTCTCTCTCTCTCGCTCGGGCTGCTGCCCTCGCCAGCCGCATCTGGATCGAGGGGACCAGGTCAAAAAAAGCGATTAGAAGAGCGAAATACGGAAAAGAAAGTCTCACAGCTTCGAGTTGGGAGAATCTGTGTGGGCTGAGGTGATGATCTAAGTTTAGAAGACATCGAGATTCAAGGCCGTTCTTGGTCGTGCACAGTTTGCATCTTTTTGCAAAATTATCATCTTTGTCTAGAGCCAAGCTGTGGTATGCACGAGCAGGGCCTTCAAGACGTCATCATATGCCATCGTATGCCATGGATGCAACCGTGCAAGGTGCACAGAAGAAAGTCGCTGCACTGCTGCTCTTCGCTGCTGGGTCTATGGTAGAGGTGAGACAGAAAAAGCCTTCGCCTTGCTCGGAGGAAGCGACAGCACAGCCACATGACAGCGTCAACAGCGTCAGGCTGTCAGGCGGTCCACTCCTCCATGGGCCGGCCCTCGGCGATGGCCTTTCGGATCATGGATTGGAGGTTGGCCTCACGCACAACGCACCCGGGCGGGTATGGGGCGATTCAGCTTTTAACGACGTGAGAAGCCACATCCGCTCAGCACATCCGCTTGAGCTACCTCCCATCCTAACATCCCCTGTTTTGCGTGTGGGTGCCTGCAGCTCGCGGCGCACTCGCTCCGCCCCTGATTGAAGGGCCTCCGCGGCGGCCTTGCCGTGCAAACCCACCGCCTCGGGGCAGCCTTCGCCCCTCTCTGGAGCCTCCATTCCTTACGAAAAGGGAGATTCGGGAAAAAATAGAGGATAAGCACCAATTAGCACCAACTAACACCAAAATTCTCCCAGTGTCCTAAAGAGCTTAACAGCCGACAAGGGCGCCGGCCAAGGCTGGCAAAAAGAAACAAAGACCAAAAACATGGCACACAAGTGCCAAAGCATCTGGTGTGCAAAGCTGCCAGGAGACCTTTCGGCTGGGGAACGAACGGCTTCAAGTCACGAGGGGCACGCTCCTCCTCTGCAGCCAATCCTCTTCCGCCTCCTTTGCGGTTCTGGTCTCCCCGGTCTGCCCGGTCTCCGCGGTCTCCGCGTCCGCGGTCCGAGCGCTCGCGGCTGTCTTTCTCTCGCCGACCCTCAGGCCGGCGGTCCTCAACCCTTCGCTCGTCTCTTCGGTCGTCCCGGCGGTCGTCCCTTCGCTCGTCCCGGCGGTCCTCAGCCCGGCGGTCCTCAACCCGCCGGTCGTCCCTGCGATCATCACGGCCGGGGCGCCCCTCACGACCATCACGGCCATCACCACGTTCGTAGCGACCGTCCCGGCCGTCCCGGCCGTCCCGACCATCGCGGCGATCGCGGCGATCGCCGTAGCCACGATCCCTCGAGCGGTCGCGGCCACGGTCTCGAAAGTTTCGCTCATCTTCTCCTCCTTTGCCACCGCGCTCCCCACGCTCCCCGCGTTCCTTGCCCTCGTTCTGCAATCGCTCCAGGTAGCTACCCTTGCCAGGTTTTCCTGGTGGGCCAAGTGGCTCTCCATTTGCCATCTTCTTCATAATCATCATGGCTGTGGCTGATGGCTTGCCTGAGCACTCGAAATGCCTCTCAAGGTCGTAGTAATACTCATCCTTCTTTTCTTGGGAGCATCTCGCCAGGATGTCTGAAATACTAGTCTCTGCTATTTTGTCAAGCTTGAACTTATCAACGAGATGCTTCATTCTCTTGTCACGATTCACTGCCACAAATGTGCCATCTTCGATTTCCTTCATCTTCGTGACCAACATCCCACATGGTGATCGCGCCTTCTCCATCACTTCTCTAAGTTTCCTCAAGTCTTCATCCCACGTGTCAAGACGATCCTTCATTAACTCGTTGAGCTTCTCAATGTGCCGTGTTTCAACATAGAACGCATCACACAACTCTTGGATGTCTGGGTGGATCCGGCCATGCTCGGAGATGTACTCCTGTTCCGTATCACCTCTCTTGGATACCCCACATCTCCAACAGTTGAACCTGCACAGGCATGCAAACTTCAAGAGCTGCTCTGTACTGTGCGAAACGCGAAAACAGCTTAAGATGGAAAAACAATTACACCACCGAAGACCCCAAACAGTACGGTGCCAGAATGCGCAGGAACCAAGCATCTTTACTTTATCAAACCCATGAATCGTGTATGCAGTATGCAAAGGGAGAAGGCGACTCCTTATTCTGCAGATTGTCGTTGCGAGTTTCTAGCGTTTAAGATTTGATGCGCAAGTCATCGCTGCAGCTGCTTTCATTGATTCTTATGACTGTTACTGTGAATTGTCGTCGTCGTAGCAGTAGCAGTAGTAGTAGAGCACTAGCAGCATTCCACAATAAAATGGCTGCCATTATGAAGTATATTAAAATAAGACCAGTTAACACCATTAACACCGAATTTCACGCGTCTAGATATGGTTGTTCTTTTGCGTAGACTTGGAGTAGACAAAAACGCCAATGTCGATACTCGTTTGCTTCCAACCTTGTTTTTACGCTGCTGCGCGCCTAGTTTGGCACAGATGGTAAAGGTCTTGCTTGCTTCTCGGCTCGCAGGCAAATTCACAAATTTGCGGGAAAATTTTTGCGCGTCGCGAAAACCTTGCAACAGTGCGGGAATTTCAGACGCATCGAGCGCGCCGCAGTTTTTGCCTTGAAAGCCCTGCCGCGGCACTGCGCGGCCCCGACCCCACAAATTTCCACGATTCTCCTCGATTCTGCAGCTTGCTTTAAGACCATCCGCTACCCACGATTCTCCTCGATTCTCCTCGATTCTCCTCGGCCCCCGCGGCCGCACGTGGACAGATCAAGTTGGTCCCCAGCGGCCACGAGTGTATTTGTTTCAGTTTGCCATTTTTTGCCGTTTTTGGCGATTCTTGCAGAGCTATGCTAATAATCTTCAAGTGCCATTTGTGTTTTTTGTGGCCGTGGTCCCAAAGGTCCAACTTCATGGGTTCTCGAGTCATTCTTGCTGAACAAATCAACAGGAGTCTTGGCTCGCAAGGTAGTTCCCAAGCACACAAGTACTCCAAGTAGTGACACCTTAAGTTGGTGTTTAAGGACATGTCTCCCAAGAGCACTTCTTGTGGAACGTCCAACTGTCAACGGTAGTAACTTTCACCGTTGAGGCAGATATACAAAACATAGCAAGCGTTTTTGAGTTGGATCCTAGACCCTCACTCCTTTACTCGAAACTCATGGGCTAATTCAAACGCAATACTTAGGGAATTGCTTCTCAAAGTCTTCTAAAGCACTAATGATCACCTCCGATTAACAACACCCCCTCCCCCCCCCCGGTCCATTGATTCCAACCCCCTGCTCGTTTCTCCGATTCTTCTTTTGAATCGGACCCTGTAAGCGCTCTCAAGCCCTGCAGTCTTTAGAGTCAAGGCCTCAAGGCCCTGCAGTCTCTAGTTTAGGGCGCTAGCCCCTGCAGCCTCTACGTTGAAGGAACAACCGGCAGCCTCTTGCTAGGGCTGTTAAATAGGACCCTGTAAGCTCTGCAGTCTTTGGAGTTTGGGCCTCAAGGCCCTGCAGTCTCTGGTTTAGGCCCTGCAGCCAACGTCTCGCAGACCGTGAGACCCGCCACTTTTGTGAGCCATCCAGTCCCCGCAACCCACCACGCCTTGCGAGCTACCAATCCACCGCAAGCCCCCCCACAATAGTCAGCCACCTAGCGCCCGCAAACCACCGAGCCACCACAGCGAGCCGCGGAGAAAGGTCTCTCGCCAGGCCAGGGGCCGCGCAGGCGCGTACGGGTTCGTACGGGCCTGCGCGGGCCCTGCGGGCTTAGGGGCTTTACGGGCCTGGTTAAGGACCTTGCTCGAGCCGCGAGCCACCGAGCCACGCGAGCCACAGCGAGCCACAGCGAGCCACAGCGAGCCACAGCGAGCCAACGAGCCACCACTGTAGTGAGCCACCCAGGCCCTAAAAGCCACCAAGCCACCGCCGCAAGCCACGCTGCTCTGCTGAACCACCCAGCCCCCGCGAGCCTCCAAGCCACCACTATAATAACCCAACCCCAACCAACCACCCACTACTACGGTGAGCCACCCAGCCCCCGTGAGCCGCGAGCCACCGCGACGCAGACGCAAGCCACCGAGATGCACGCCACTGCGCGCCACCTCGCGCCACCGCGAGCCACCGCGCGCCACTGCGAGCCACTGCGAGCCACTGCGAGCCACTGCGAGCCAACGCGAGCACGCGAGCCACGCGACGCGAGCTACCGCAACTCTTGTCAGCCACCAAGCCCCCTCACAAGCCACCGCGAGCCACCACTATAGTGAGCCACTCAGACCCCGCAAGCCACCGAGCCACCACGCCGCGCGAGCCACCCTTTTCATGGGCCGCCAGCCCGAGCCACCGCGCAGCAGCTGCTGCGCAAGGCTTCAGGTTTGAGCGTGGACCTTTGAAAAGGGCTTTTGTGTATGCTTGAATACCGCATGAAGGGCAAGGGGACAAAGCAAACAAAGGGAGACACAGGGAAACAAAGGGAGACCAAGGGAGACAAAGGGAGACAAGACGACGCTCAGGAACACGGCAAAGGCCACCCACATGAAGGGAGACAAGGGGAGACAAAGGGAGACAAGACGTCCAGGAACCCGGCAAAGACTACCTGCGTGGAGGGAGACAAGGGGAGACAAAGAGACAGGAACACGGCAAAGTCACCTGCATGAAGGGAGACAAGGGGAGACAAGGGGAGACGGCGCCCAGGAACCCGGCAAAGGCCACCCACGTGAGGGAGACAAAGGGAGACAAGCATAGTCAAGCAGCCAAGGACCCGGCAAAGGTCACCCCATAAGGACAAGGGGACAACGGTGACAAGGCCCAGCAAGGGGAGACAAGCGGAGACAAGCCAGGAAGGCGGCACCAGGAAGGCGGCAAAAGCAACCCGCTCGAAGGGAGCCAAGAGGACAAAGGGAGACAAAGGGAAACAAGACGCCCAGGAACCCGGCAAAAGACCGCCCACGTGAAGGGAGACAAGACAAGGGGAAACAAAGGGAGACAAGACACCCAGTAAGCCAGCAAAAGCAACACACGTTAAGGGAGACAAGGGGACAAAGGGAGACGGGAGACAAGACGCAGGAACCCGGCAAAGACCGCCCACTTGAAGGGAGACAAGGGAAGACAAAGAAAGACTTGGGGAGACAAGACACCCAGGAACACGGCAAAGGCCACCCACATCAAGGGAGACGAGCGGAATCCGAAACAAGGGGAGACAAAGGGAGACAAAGAGAGACAAAGGGAGAAAAAAGATACAAAGGGAGACAAAGGGAGACAAAGGGAGACAAAGGGAGACAAAGGGAGACAAAAGGAGACAAAAGGAGACAGGGAGACAAGATTCTCAGGAACACGGCAAAGGCCACATGAAGGGAGACAAGGGGAGACAAAGGGAGACAAAGGAAACAAGACGCCCAGGAACCCGGCAAAAACCACCCACTTGAAGGGAGACACGGGAAGACAAAGGGAGACAAGACGCCTCCTAGGAACCCGGCAAAGACTACCCACGTGGAGGGAGACAAGGGGAAACAAAAGGAGAGAAGATGCCCAGGAACCCGACAAAGACCACCCACATGCAAGGAGACAAGGGGAGACAAAGGGAGACAAAGGGAGACAAGACGCCCAGGAATACGGCAAAGGCCACCCGCATGAAGGGAGACAAGGGGAGACAAGGGGAGACGGAGACAAGGGCAGACAAAGGGAGACACGACCAGGGAACCCGGCACAGGCCACCCACATGAAGGGAGACAAGGGGAGACAAACAGAGACAAGACGCCCAGGAACTCGGCAAAGGCCTCCCACAGGAAGGGAGACAAGGGGAGACAAAGGGAGACAAGAAACCCAGGCACCCGGCAACGCTTACCAGAATGCCGGCAATTCCTTAAACGAATTTAAGACCCCAACAGTACAACTGTTTGGAGAACAACAATAATTGTAGGAAAAAGAAAACTGCGAACTGTACAGTACAGAACATGCAAGTACAAAGCAACGTGCACAACGTGCACAGCCCATGACTCGCCATGAGTGTCGGCAAGAGCTAGCCCGGGCTCGCCAAAATTCTTTTCTGAGCTGAAGTAACATCTGGCTTGAAGCGGTGAAGCATGTGGTGAAATGTGGCGAAATGTGGCGTGTCGTGAAATGTGGTGGAATGTGTGGAATGTTGTGAAACGTGGTGAAACGTGGTGAAACGTGGCGGAATGTGATTGGCATGAGAATCACCAGAGCCAAAGACGAAGGGGGGGAGGGGGGCGAGGAGTGGAGGGATGTCAACCGCGTCAACTTTGGGAAACTGGGCATGAAACTCACGCTGTGATCGTGTGAAAAACGACAGGTCGCTCTCCGTGGGCGACCTTTACTAATTGTGGTCACTTGCCTTTGCTATCTGCCATATCTCCACGTCGGGGGTGGGCCCGGTTGGCACATCGCATTGCATGACTGTGGGCGGTTCCAGAAAGAAAAAACACCATGAAATATGAAATATCTGCAAGCAGAGGCAACCTTGACCTTGTGGAAACAAACTTAATGGAAGCAAACTTGCCAAGCCTGGATGCATAGACGTTAGCCTCGCATCGAGGGCACGTCCAGTCACCAGGCTTCAACCCTGGCTTGATCTCCCACTTCTTGTTCTCCACAGCCTTTGGGGCACCTGAGACTCACACGGCTCGGAGGTCTGTCAGAAAAGACCGTCCACAATAGTCCACATATACCACATATTCAAAGAGTCTCGCGCTGTTCTCTGAGTTCTTGGATCACTGGCACACCTCAGCCAGGGCTCTGCCAGCTCCGGCTGCACCTGCTCCTGCGGCTCCGGGAGGCATTTTGGCTCCGTTCTGTGCCTTGCCCAGCGAAGTGATAGATGCTTGAAACTCACGGAGGACAGTACGGGGTGGTGAGCCTGAAGCGCCATCTGTGCCATGAGCGGGTTTCCTTGGCAAGGCTGAGGAGCTGTGCTGCCCCTCCAAAGAGTCAAAGAGCTCGCCCTCTCTCTTGTCTACCCGTCAACACTTTCCCCGGAAATCCCTCCAAACATCGCTGAGATTCCACCCATCATCGCCATGTTCATTGGGTTGAGTGGCGGCTTGCTGGTCGTCCCGAACCTTTGTTGAAAGACAACCCCTGAAAGCACGTCCATAGCCTACTGCGTTTCCCCTACAGTGCTGCAGATCCCCACAGACCAGCGCCAGTCTCTGGCACGGGGGGCATGGTCGGGTTGGTCATGGCCATCATCGCCTGGAGCCGCTGGAACCTCGTCTCAGCCATGCAGCCGCGGCTCACTCAGGGTTCGTTCTGGTCTCTCCCGACACCCTCGTATCCGGGATCCGGCTCTCCAAGATACGAGCGTTACGACCATGATACGGCCCGGCAGTAGTATGCCGAGCAGCGTGCTGCGGATGTCCTGCATCGCGTTGCCATCATCACCGTCATCGCCATCCTTGGCGCCTTTCTGCTTCCGCCCCATTGGGGCTCACTTCACAGAATCCGAGACGAAGACGTAAACGAAAAAGACAGAAAGCAGTTCCCGCGGCAAGAAAGCAGTTGGATCTGTTCTGGATCAAATCACTGCTCTAGCTGCACCTGCACTGCATATCATTGCTTCGTCCATGCCCTTTGAGAATACAACGGGGATGAAGTTTTCACGCCTTCCTCACCCGTGCTCCATCAATGTCTGTGCAACGGCACACTATTTCTCAAACAGGAGTCAATCGTCAACGAACAACTCCACAGAATAATGGGTCTTTTTTGGCCATCTCCTCGCAGCAGAATTTCGAGGTCTTTCTTCTGGCCGGTGGACAGATGTCTGTGCCTCAACTGCCCAAGCAAGCTGGCCTTGAATAGAGAGGTTATTCCGGCTGCATTGAGAGCGCATTCAGTTTGTGCTTCCAACTTCAACCCGACAAGCCAGTAGGCACAGCCGGCATGACCTTTCGATTGTCATGTTCATGGGCTGCATCCTTCCATGCAGCCATCAGTGAAAGCAGAATGTACTGCGCAGCCGTAAAACTGTGTGAAAGTCTGCGAGCTTGCGCAGGTCGCGCACGAATGCTGTCCTTCCCTACGCTGCTAGCAACGGCAAGGTAGCATCTGGGATCTGGCATCCGCCTATTGCCTGCATCGACACGTTTAGTATAGCAAAAACTTATCCTGCAGCTGGCCACCACTCACACTGGCAGTCGACGCTGATCGTAGATCAAACTGGAGCATCGCAAGCAGTGGCTGAGTTTTTAAACTGACGCTGCAAAGTGGTACACGAGGCAGCTTCTCAAGCTATAAGTGCCGGACTTGCACAATGAGGACAGCGGCCACATGTTGAGGACTGTGGCTGCTCCTCGACAGCCGTAGCACTCTCTAGCAGATTGGAACTTGTACGTACTGCAACGCTTCGAAAGGCCTGGCACCGTCATCTTGAGCGAGGCCAAAACATTGGGCAGGAAGGCCGCAAAAAGCTTCCATATACCGTACCTCAGGTCATGGCCAGGATGAAGCCAAGCCTTTTGAAAGATGCAGTTTTTTGCCGTTGTTGTTGCCTTTGTGTTCGCCTTGTTCCTTGGATCTTCAGACCTTATCAAGTTGCTGTCCCATCCCCCCCCAGCTCAGAAGCGAGCATCTCTGTGATGAAGCCGACAAATGGCCAGCCCACGACAATGATGGCGATTCCCAGGAAGTATCTCAGGTCACAAGCAGAGAAGATAAGCACAGGTGTAGCCGGGAGATCGAGTCACCGGCCCTGTTGTGCCCTTCCACTTCTCTTTCCGGAAGAAGAACTTGAAGGCCTTTAAAACAGTCCAGGTCTAGCAGCCTAGCATGCCCAGTCCCATTCAGTCCCCTCTGCCTTTGTTGGACCCAGGAGGAGGGCAAGACCAACCAGAAAAGCGACGTTCCTGGCAGCGTCCCATGAGAACTCTTGGCAAAGGGACTGGAGACATCAAAACGCGGAAATGAAAGCGCAACGCAGGGCCGAGCGCACCCGAGCGCCAAGAGGGTGCGATCAAAGAGCAAGAAGATGCCAAGAGTCACGAACATCACCCCGATGCCACATAGGCCTCACAAGTTCTGTCAGTAACTCTTCGGAGGGCATTTTAACACTTGAGAACAGTGACTTTGCCAAACCCGTCGCAGTTTCCGCTTGTTGCTCAAAGTGCAGAACCACAGCTCTCTTTTTCTCATGTCATTGGCGATCCCCGTTCTAAACCCTTGAAGAGCTCGCGGCACAGCACGCGCAGGACATGCGGCTAGGACATCTCAGCTGGAGAATGCTCCACAACTCGCAGGTCGGTCACTGTGGCCTCCCCGGCTCCCCAGAGCCGGGGTCAAAACGTTGCTGTCCGCAGAACTCCACAGAACCTCCCCAACCTCTTCTGACTGGTCACATACCGTCACATACCCCGTCACACTGACTGTGCAGAGGTCTGAAGCGCGGACATCAGTCGCCTAGGCCTACCAGGGCCTAGAACCCTAGAAAAGCGACAGGAACTCCGCCCTAATTGGCCGCAAGGGTCCTCTAATAGGGCTTGGCCCTGCCAGGCGTTCTCCGAAACTCGTATCATGTGCACAGCTGATCCCAGTTTCTATGGGCCCTGTGCGAAACGTCTGTACAGCGGCATCATATGACAGCCGTGCATTTTGTCATCGGGGTCTCTGGCAAGTTCAGGTTAACGTTCTCTTTGCCAGGAATCTCACTATCACTTGCCTTACTTGCCTTACTTGCCTTACTTGCCTTCAAGACTGGATCGAGGGCAACCGTGGCAGGTTCAGGTAGCTCCAGTCGCTCAGGCAGCTGATTTTGGTGCTCCAGCTCTCGGCCTTCGAGTGAGCGATCGCACAGCTTTTGGGAACGTTAGACAGAATTCCGGCCCCTGCCTGTGAGGTCTGACCATGCAGGCCGAAAGTTTCGAAGGCCTTAGAGGCCAACACTCGTATGCGAAAAGCGTCACGCAAATCAAGTCCGCTAGTTGCTTTGACTGCTCATCTTGCTCTCAAGTCCTCATGAAGCTCAGCAGCTCGGGAGGTCCTTGGGAATGTGCTGAGGCCGCCCCATCTCGTGTCCTTAGGTGCTAAGGCCCCTGCAGGCCTGAGGCCTGTGATGTCCTGTGAAGGGAACCTTTTGTGGGGAATCTTGTAGAAAGTTTGTCTTGGGTTCCTCGCGACTTTCGTGACTCACCTCGGTCGAGATGTTGTTGAGCCACCTCTAGCTAAGCGCTGCGAGGCAAGGCAGATCAGATGATTTGGCACAGGCCGTTCAGAACAAACTTGACAGAGGTACCTGTTCAACCCATCCTGCCCAGCCAGAAGACATGCAGGGCATCAAAACAGCATCAGGTATTGACATGGCTCCTGTGCCACGGCGACCACAAGCTCAGCACCTGGGTCATCTAGAAAAGGCCACATCCAGGAGAGATGTAGTCACCAGCTGGGGAACGCAGCATAACTAACGTGTCTGAGCTCAGCACTGACAGGATAGGTTATCAGTTCTCTCGGCACCATGAATGCCTTAGACCCAGCACTCGGCGTGATGTGATTCACAATCGCAAAGATGCGCCTCACTGTTTGTGACTCTGTCTCTTGATTCTTGAAGTTCCCAGAAGCCTCTAAAATGCATCCGTGGGACTCCAGGCACCGCAGATGGTCGGGAAGGTGCTCTTGGCCGCGGCCTCTTTTGAAAAAAAGACGAAACCAAAACACCCCTTTGAATCCTTTCATGCTTCCTTCTCTTGTCTGAGACTGCCTCCAAGGCCCAGCGGCATCCGGAACCTGCACCATCTCCGACATCTCCTGGCTTTCCACAAGCATTTGTTTTCGTCACACCGGCGCCGTCCCCCACGTGCCCAACTGTTGAGAAACATCCTCGCAACAGTTTGGGCCAGGTTTTGGGGGGCACCAGTAGCTCACTTTCGAGAACGCTGAGACCACCGGTCCGCGGATCCCCTGAAAAGAAAAGTTGATGAGCGTCTTCTGCAAATCAAGCACACAAGTGTGACAATGTCCACAGTGAGCTCGCCATGCTGGTCAAGAATTTCCCAGCTTGTTACAATGCTATATCGCATCAAGTACCCTACCCCGAGCAGCACCCCACCAAGACCAGGGTTTAGGACCAGATCTCAATCCACCGATCCACAACCCACAGCAGCGCTCATCAACGCCGATCGAGCCAAGACACCCAGTAATTATGATGTAATTATGTCAACGTCCTCGAAAAGTTCGTCAAAGGTAAGGACAATGAGAAGGGAAGACCGCTTCCAACCCGGACCCGTGCATATGCATTATTCCCGCTGTCGAAATTAGTGAACCCGGATGACACGCTACAAGAGTGCCTGAGTATGTGCCTGTCAACATGAGCAAAGGCGCAACGTTCGTGGCAGGCATGCACATTTCTTGTGTCACTAATGTGTGCGCGTAGTGTCGCCGATCTCAAGCGGAAACTGCGTATTGCCAGGTGGTGTTGGGATGATCAGTTCCGACATAAGTGCCGCAATCCACCTGGATGCCAAAACTGCAACCACATGTTCTATCATTCCGCCCGCAAATTCGGAATGAACTAATGCCTTACGAAGCCGAACATCACATGGTTCATCGACAAGCAATGTCCTGGCTCAAATCTCTGCGTTTCTCCCTCATGCTCATCGATGCCGACGTTTAAAGAAACTTGGGCACACCCTCATGGAGCGCAGATGGGTTTACACTGAGCTGAACAGGTTGCACGAAAGTTTCAAACGGCTTTCGCAATCTGACAAACTTCGGCAGCTTGAATGGTAGGGGACCTTGAGGATTTGGTGCATGTCGCCCACACACTATCTCTCTCTCTCTCTCTCTCCTGCACGCTTAGCCCCCCCCGAGGGGAAGGCTGCCCCGAGGGGCGCGCGATGTCCGTGGGTGCGTTGGTTAGGAAGGGCCATGGTTAAATCTCTCTCTCTCTCTCTCTGCACGCTTGGCCCCTCCCGAAGGAGGCACCCACACTCTCCTTCTTCTTCTTCTTCTCCTCCTTCTTCTTCTTCTCTGCACTTAGGAGCCCCCCCACTCTCCCTCTCTCTCTCTCTCTCTCTCTCTCTCTCTCTCTCTCTAACGCGGTTTTCTTCTGCACAGCAGCGTCCCCCGCACGAAGCCTGGCACGTTCAGGCCGGCTTGAAAATTCACAAGCACCCTTTGAAAAGCCACCCTATGGTCTCTTCTTGTGTCTACAGCAGAGGCTTCAATTCGATTCGAGTTACGGTGTTGAGTTTCTTCAACCTTTGCCCTCAGCAGTTGATGAAGGGCATGAACTCACGGCCGTGAAAATCCAAACTTGATTTCCAAGCGTCCACGACAAAGCTTCATTCCTTCGATTACGGCTCTGCTCAAACTGTTCGCACAAGTACGCCCACTCGTTCTTGGGCGCGGGTGAGATTGGGGACTCTCACCGCAGATGTCCAAGCCCGAAGCCAGATGCCCTGGTATTTTGCCATTTCGCTGATGTCGAAAACCGTCACAGTTTTGTGCACGATCACAAAGTCTATCCATCACCGCCCACATGCAACAATAAGCGCGCGGTGATCAAGAACCATTGCCCCCCTTGCCTTGAAGTCATCATTCTGACCGCCTGAGCTTCCACTCAACGCGGCCCACAACGTCGCAGAAATATGGGTCAACGGCCTTCTCTGTTGATGTAGGCCTCAGAACAAGACCCAGGCCGTCCCCAAGCAACAATTGCCAAAGTGGGGGCAACACGAGACCCCGACCGGCAATCCACAAGCAAGGCGCTCTGCCCTTCAATGCTGGGGGGAAATCTGCTGCAGCATCACCACGTGTGACCAGGGCCTGCGTCGCGGAGGAGGCGTTCTTGGCGGGGACGTCTCTTGTGACACCTGGCCATGCAAACCCGAAACCATGTGGTAAGCATCATGCCATGAAAAAGCAGCGGTCAGAGGATGAAAGCACCTGCCATGCGCATCCCGGTGCACCATCAGCCATCGACATGGTTTTGGCAAGATGGCCGATCTATAAGAAACAGCTGTGTCAGAATGGTGAAGATGCTAGAACCTAAATTGCTTCTGTCTGCGGGAGAGACAGCTGCTGAAAGGCGACTAGTGCATCTCAATCGTGTTCTTGTCCATCACATGTTCTTTTGTCTCTGCTGGAACCACCCCCTGCAACATGATGTGGAGCGCACATGAGCGCACGTTCTTGACAACCTGGGAGCCATGCCAATCCCAATCTTCTTGTTGTCATCCAACATGGAGCTCTGCCTTGGGAATGGACAGGCGCCTGCCAATGCTGGGAGCATGAGTGAAAAAAGCCATCCCTCTTGAGTGCCAGGCTCTGCAAGGGAGCTCGGTGCGCACGGCGCAAAAAGGAGCCAACAGCTTTCACGGCAACATGATGCAAAAACTTTGTGCAGCGCAACATGCGTCGGCAAGCCCAACAGCCATGGCTTGCATTGCATGGCTTGCTCGTTCTCTTTTCCAGAAAACCACGTTTGGACTCCAGGATCCTCGTCAACAACCTCTTGCACTGCACTTGCCATTCAGAAGAATCTCCAAATATAAAGCCCTGTACAGGCTGTGAGCCCATCCATAGACGCCCTTTTTGTGAAATTGGCGACGCCGGCATAGGGCGCTTATACGGTTTAAGGCTGGGGTTTAGGGTTTAGGGCCTTTGATCCTATAGCTTAGGTTTCAGGGTTTGGCGTTCAGTCTTGCTTCTGTGCAGATGACCACAAACTTGTGATCAGCTCCTTAAAATGATGGTACCTGTTTGTACAAATACATGGGCGCGGCCAATGGGTCCCCCAACAATGTACCCTTATTGAGGGAACCATGCGCTCGTTTGTTCCTCTCAAAGGCGATGTCTAGGTTGCTTTGGTTACGGTTTACTTTTTGCAGGTGCTCCCAAGTGACTTCCAAACTACTTCCCACATCAATGTCAGCTCAGCTCTGCTAGAGAACACATACAGTATCTTCGAGTTGCATGAGCTGAAAGCAAAAAGCATCCCTTGAGTGAGGCGACCACGGACAGTTCATCGCAAGGCATAACCAGGCTAGGATGAGTTG